AAAACACCATACAAAAGCAACATAGGCCAAGGAATGACTCACAGCCCATGGGTGAAGGCATGTCAGTAGGAACAAGACGCATCCTGTCATGAAGTGGAGAGATGAACACTCACACTTAGCACCCTTTCTCCTTTTTATTCAGTCTGGAACCCCATTCCAGGGGACAGTGCCACCCTCATTCAGGGTGTCTACCTTCCTCAGCTAAACCCTTCTGGAAATGCTCTTGAAGCCATAAGGCCGGTCTAAGTGACTCTCAATCTAGTCAAGCTGACCATGGAGAAAACCAACCCAGGCATGGGAGAGGTAATATTCCACTTATTAGGAAATCCTAGGGGAAAAAAAAATGAATCCACAGGACTAAAACCAGAACCGTGGCACCAGAAACAGGGCACTATGACTACAGAAGATCCCCAGGAAACGTTTTAGGTGCCAATGCTGCTACCTGATTCTTATAACGAGTGGCATGCACTATGTCAAAACAACCCAATGGCTACCCAACGAAATGGGTGTTTATTATAAGTAATTCTCCCTCATTAAAGGTCGGGGCTTGGAGCCAGCAAGACAGAAGGCTGGGTGTCTACCCAGGATGAAAGCATCATCCTTCCACCTTGAAGCTGCCATCCATTTTACTGCCTCCTGTTTTGGAAACACATACGGAGAAGCTGGACCCACAGAAACAGCACAAGTTCCCATCAATGCCAGCGATCTGTTTCCTGTGAGCTCACTCCTACCCAGGGGGTAGTGCCAGCCCCACTGCTGTTACTGGCTTTCCAAGTGCAGGTGGAAACTAACACCACCCTGGGGGCGCAGAGCAAGGAAACGAGGTCTCCCTGGGCCTGTAGACGCTTGCCAGCTCTTCCATCCATGGGCAATGCAACTCCTGCCAAGCTAAACTGTGATTCGGGAGCACACCACCGAGGCCAGTTCCATGAGCCACAGGAGCCACCAGTAAACACCTCTGAACGCTTGGGTCAGAAGGATTGCGTCCCCAAATGCCGATCGACTTCCAGGGATTGGGGGACCTTTTGTCTGTACTCGTTTGTGGACAAGTGTGTGCACGGGTGTGTGCCCACATGTATCGTTGTATGCACATAGGCCAGAGAAGGGAGCTCCAGGCAGCCAGTAAACACTAGCAATCCTGTCTGCACCCCACGCAGCACAGGGGTTGCAGGCCCATGTACAGCCATGCCTAGGTTTTTATGTGGTGCTGGGATCAGGCGCTTAGTCAGTGAGCCAACTCTCCAGCCCCAAGAGGCTTCTTCTTTCCCACATTTTTTGGTCTCAGCATTTCTATCACAGGACTTGGTTCCCCCTGCTTTGTCCATGTTTCTACAATCTTGGCACCACCCTTGTTAGGCCTGTGTTCTCAAGTCTCAGTAAACAATAGTCACATCTGTTGCTCACTTTTCTGCTCAGCTGTTTCCAATGTCTGTCACTGTATGAGGCATGCCGTACTTTACAGCACACCTCATGTCATCCTCCATATAGCCCCTGCACACCCTCCACCCAATCCCCTGGGGGGGGGGCTGCCACATACCTGCTGTAGACTTGGGGAGGATATGGCAGGAATGCATGCATCAGAAGCAGAAATCTGGGCTGTGGGGCATGCCCTTGTTGTGATAAGCTGATTAGTCCTCGACTCCAGTGCAGTGGCCTCCACTCAGCCAACCTCCTACTACCCACGGTCTGCTCATGGCCTGAACCTCTTGTTCACCTCTTTACCCGGTTTCCTACTGAGGTAGTCTTCCATTGCTGATTTGAAGGGTGTTTTGTGCCCTGACACCTAACCCTCAGCTGGTGTCACCCCACTGCAGACACCATCTTCCAGCTCCCACACACATTCAGGCCCCTGCCAACTCCCAGAGCAAAGTCAGCTAAGATATGACAAGAGAATAAAGAAAAATGGAAGGTGAACTGCTTGTTCAAATCCAACATATTAAATGGAACAAAATATTTACAGAGCCATGAAAAAAACTATATAAGCCCTTTTTGTACTTTAGTGTTCTAAACAAAAGAAACAAATGAATATAGAAAAGATCAACAAACTAAAATAACTGTTATGGAAAATATTTGTTAAAACAGTATAAAATAAAAGAAATAACCCGTGTTCTTTTATTAAGAACTTCATGCTCTGGGGAAACGACACAGGGTCGGGTAGAGAGTAAAGGGCACAGGCCAGAGCAAGTCCAAAAGGCAGCCAAGGGGCAGATCAAACACTCCATGAACCTAAGACTGTGCCTTAAAACAGAGTGCTGGGGGCTGGGGAGATGGCTCAGCAGCTAAAACCATTCGCCCTGGAAGTGTGTGGACTTGAGTCCAGATCCCGAGCCCACAGAGAGCTGGACAGGGTGGCACGCATGTGTAATCCCAGCACTCCTACAGGGAGATGAGCTGGGACAAGAGAATCCCCAGAGCCTTGCGGGCCACCTAGCCTGGCATACACATCAGAGAGCAAGGTAAGGGCCAACCCCTAAAGTTACCCTCTGACCTCTATGTGTATGCACGCGTGCACGCGCACGTGCGCGCGCACACACACACACACACACACACACACACACACACACACACACACACACACACACAGTAAAAACCAAGAACCAGATGAAAATGGGGTGAGAGAGCAATCAAGAACAAGCCTAAAGTATGCAGACAGCAGCCTGTTAAGTTCCTATCAGCCAATACTGCTCCTAGGGCTCCTCGTGTCCTGATGCCGGGGCCACGTCAGCAGTCAGGATGCAGACAGGAGCCCTGGCTACCTTCGGATCAAGTGCTGATTCACTCACCAAGCTGAGACCAGCAAAGAGCAGGACCTTTGTATTCAAAGCCAGTGACTGCCACATTATCAACAGACAAGGCCTCAGAAGCCTGAAGCAGTAGCCAGAACTGGGTCTTCAGATGGCTGCGGAGACTCTTGAGATTAACCACTAGTTAACCTAGTCTCCCACATCCCTACTCCCTCCAGTAGAGACTGCCAGCAGTAGAGTGCATATGCAGAAGCAGAATGCTTAGGGGGCCTGTTGTACTGGCGGCCACTTAAGCAGGCAAGGAGAAAGCTGGCCTGAACACGTTCAAACCATCCAAGAGCACCAGGTATCTCCACGATTCACCCCACCTTAGCCCCACTCCCTGGAGAAAGCAATGACTGAGGACCTGGGGGCAGTCCTCTCCAGGCTGTCAGGCAAACCCCAGCTACCCCATCAAATATGACTGGCTTCCTTCCAGTTCCCATGACTTAAGAAACTCCAACAGAAAGCTAATCAGAGTTCCATTATCGGCTTCATCCTGAGTTGGAAACTGAGGAAATCCAGTTATGGCACTGAAGAGTGAGAAATGTTTGATCTGAAGGATCAGGCCCAGGACCAGGTAACATAAACTCCTCTAGCGAGGAACAGACTGTCCCACACTGCTGGAAACCCATTTGCTCAGCGCTGGGACTACGTTCCAGGAGTGGTGGTGCTCAGTGTCCATGCCAGCTGGCCCACAGTCCACACAGCCCACACAGCCCACACCCAGCAGTTTCCAGGCTCTGGGATTTCACTGTGTTTTTGTTTGCATTTTGTATTGGGTTTTAATTGGTTGGCTGATGTAAGACTGTTGGTATTTGTTTTTCCCCCAAGAATGTTCTAAAAGAATAACAAAATAAATATATAAATAATCACCATTCAGTATCACCATCATCCTACCTCCCTCCTGGTCCACTCCACAGCCTTTTGCTGACAAGCATCTCCACTCTCAAACTCATACCATGCACAGAGTCCAAGGGCTCAAGCAACATGTATTGACTGACCCACAAAGCAGGCCAAAGCAAGGGTTCCAATCCACAGCAAAATCATCCGCAGAACAGGACCACAGGCCCATGCAGGTCACACATAGAAATGCATGAAGGACTCTGGGCCACGGTCTCCGATTCCGTACTTGCAGATCTCCTGATGGTGAGAAAGGCTATAATGCAGGGTCGCGTAGGACACAAAGCTGAAGGTAGCTCTCGGTTGTCTGGATGGGGAGGTACAGAGATGACTATGTACTTGGGACCACACATGCAAAGACACATACAGCAAAAGAAGATGGTTTGTTTCCATCTACTCCTCTCTGGAGTGCACAGCCTCCCACTTGAGATCTGCGGCCTCGAATTTGAGCGTATGACTTCTCTAGCCTTTTTCCCTTCCACTACAATATAACCTTTAAAAAACTATCAGGCTTTAACTTGCTGCTCTTGCAGAGGACCCAAGTCCAGTTCCCAGCACTCACATGGCAGCTCACAGCCATCAGTTCCAATGGATCTGGCAACCTCTTCTGAACTCTGTGGTCACCAGGCATGCTCATATGCAAATACACATGCAGGCAAAACACATGAGATACAAATAAAATTAAAAAGTCTTTAAAATAAAAAAATAACAGAAAGGAGCTGGCAAGACGGCTCTGTTGGTCAAGTACTTGCCACACAGCACAAGGACCTGAGTTTCGGTCCACAAAGTCGTGTAAAAAGCTAGGTGTGGTGGTACACACTTGTAATCCTAACCCTAAGGAGGCAGAGAGGGGGGACCCTGGAGCGCACTGGCAGCCAGTCTAACTGAATGGGTGAACCCCAGACCCCACTGAGAGACTCTGTCTCAAAAATAAGGTGGCCTGTATCTGGGAAATGACACCTGAGGTTCACCTCTGGCTGCCGGATGTGTCCACATACACACTATGGTTTGCCCGCGCACACCAACAAAATATAATACTAAAACAACATGCAGACCCCAGCTGACAAGAATGAGAATCTCTTCGGATCATCCTTTAAACAATGCCCCACACTTTGCTCTAAAAGGGTCTGAGAGCAGTCGGGCACACAGCGTGCACTATGGGGCTCTGGGTCGATGTGCACCCCACCCCGCCCCCAGATGCTTTACATGGCAGCATCAGGTATCTTAGCCACTTTCAGGCCTCACCTAGAATAATAAACTGACCCATCTTAAAATACAAACCGCAAGATCCACAGACAGGAGAGACACGTTCCCTCAGGTACAAAGATTTACTATGATTAACAAGTTACCACTGCTATTTACACATTTATAAAATGGAAATAAAAAGGACATAGGTTTGGTGCCAAAAGTGGCACATCCAAACTAAGACCAGTACAAAAATAAACTTTTAAGCTACGCTTTTAAAATAAACATCATTGAAACAGTAAGGGGAGAAGTCTGTCTTGCCGTGTGCTGAAGTGCCATCACTGTCACAGCAAAGCAGCCCTGGCTGGGCAGTGTGAACAGTGCCCAGGGGAGCTGCCTATGTTCTTGCGAGAATGCAAGCAAATGAACAAAGATAAATATACAAGAGTTATATTCCTGAGCTACACAAGTTTAGGGTATCTAAACTGTAGTGAATTCCTGCTAAAGAGGAGCCCTGTGGGGTCGAGGTTGATGAACTTTCCCTGGTGCCCAGACACTGGCACCAGAACGTGGCATCGTGCTCTGGAGAAAGCTAAGCCCACTTGCAAAGGCAGTGGCTACCAGAGTCGGAGGCTGTGGGTCCCGCATGGCCCACCACAGTGGCCCTAAGTCTCCTGCTCAGATGAGCATGGACGTGGGCAGAGGAAAGGAAGAAGCTGCTTGGTTTGGGGGCCCCGTGCCTGACAGACCAGACCTTTGGTGATCTTGGTGGTAAAGTCCAGTATTTCCTTTTGTACTTACTGCACAGAGCAGCAGTGGACCTCAGCAGGCAAACACAGGCACCCAGAAAGCCCTGTCTACACAGGCCTTCAGACTTCAGCGCTTCACTCTCCTCACCACGGAGCAGGACCAGGACTGTGCCTGCTGGAGTAGTGGGCTGGCTACTGAGAGTGAGCACTGAGTCCAGAGCACAGCCGAGCCAACTCTTGCTTGGCCTAGGTGCAGTGCAGCAGAACACTGGCCATGCTCAGACTCCTCTGGGGTCCCAGTAAGGATGGTAAATGCTGAGGGGAGCAGGAAGAGGGAGCTAATGCGCAGGATGCAGCCCACACCAGATCGACTGCCTGTTCCACCTGAGCTGGTGCCGGAAACCACACGAAGGAAGGCTGCCAAGCCGTCCCTGCAGCCCCTTGCTGAGCTCCAATCATGGGTCCTGGACCTTGGCCCTCTTGGCTTTCAGGGACAGGTGCTGCAAGAGAAGAGACATCAATGGGGACTGTGAGACTGAGAAAGCAGACTCCAGCAGGCTCCAGTCAAATCCTCAACCTGGCCCACACCATCCCCAGGAATGCTGTGCCCCTTGGAAAGCTGTCTGCAGGAAAAAAAACCAGGTACAAGTAACACAAAAAGCTTCCTTACATCGCCATGGGCATCAGTTGACAGGACTGAGGGGTAAAAACACATCTTACGGTAAAGTCAAATTACTATAAATTCTCAAATGTGTATTTGAAGCAGAATGTATGAACATAAGCTTCTAATCAGGGACCTCTCCTCACCAGCTGAGGGGTACCTGACATCCTATCAATAACATAAGCCAACAAGGCACAGACCCCTCAGCTGAGCCAAGCTAGCACCCAGAAGCTCCTCCTAAGAGGATGCTGCCCTCCCAACTGCTAGTGCCCAAACCCCATGTTCTAGCAAATCCAACATGACCTCACAACACCCCAGAGAACTGCCAGCCCTGAAAGAAAGCAGCACACTACCAATGACGACACGAGCTGACAGACCAGCAGGCCCCAGGCCTAAGAAAATGGCCAGATGCCAGGCTTTCTACACACTTGTGCCTGAGAGAGGAGAACGTGGGTCCTCGAACAGTGAGGCCAGACACTCTTCCTAGATCACAAGGGTCTCTCTGAGGCAAATCTCTGTGGGCATGCTTGTGGGTTTGCTGCTTCTCTGAATTCTTTCCTCTCTGTCCTTCACCAGCCATGACCCTAAACTAATCCTGGACATGTGTGGCCTTATTCAGGGGTAGCCAATGACGCCACCTGCCTGTAAGCCATTACTAGTGTGCTTTACTGAAAAGATCGCCAAGTATAAACAGAGTCGACTACTAGTGTGCTTTACTGAAAAGATCGCCAAGTATAAACAGAGTCGACTTTGAGCCATTTCAGGCTCTGCAGAGAGAAAGCAACTCTGAAACACAAGCGATGGAAAGTCACCGGAGGAGGCGCCAGGAAGAAGAGCATGCTGACAGCCTGTGGGCTGTGCATGGCCCGGAGGCTCTGCACCGCGTCCAAGGCAGCAGACCTGCCCTGCATGGGCAGCCCCGGGGAACCTGGAGTGTCCTGAAGAAATGGCTCCAACTTTGGACCTCAATCAGAAGAGACACCAAGCTGCCATGATACAGCGAGGATGTCCTGGGTGGTTTCTAAAGGCCCGGCTCTCCCCAACACTCTCACCATGTTGCAGGTGACGGGCTGAAAGGCAGAAATTCTGAGAGAAGAATTGTCATTTTCTTCAACCTGCTGAAGCAATGTGCCCCTTAACTTTGTGGGTCTGACATAAAGAAACTAACTTTGAGCTGAGAAGGAAACTAACTCAGCTTGTCGGCCAGTTCTTCTCTCCAGGAGCCTCGCAGCCAGGGCAGTGCAGGGCCGCCTCCCTCAGCGTAGCACCCTGCCACTGTAACAGGCCCTCTGCAGCACACCCTCTCCACTCACAGCCGGCCTTTCTAACCATGCCTTTGGCCTCCTGAAGGCTGCTGTTTCCAGATGAGATTTAGATGGAAGAGACTTTCTTCCACTCCAGCTAACTTCTGTTCAACCCAACAGAGCCGAGACACACTGTGCACCCAGCAGTCCGTCCAGTTTCTAGTTGAAATACCTGTGTCAGGACATGTGAAGAATGGTAATGGTTTCAACCACTTTTGACACTTTGGCATAAGAATTGAATACCGCAAGGGTTCCGAGGGCAACTTCCTTAGCTTCACAAAGAAAGAGATATCCAAGATTGAAGCAAGTGAACAAACACACAGAACGGGTCTGTGGCACCTCAAAAGTGTCACCAAGAGCAGGCAGCACTGCTCAACCCTGCTGACCGCAACCACAAAAGGGTGAAATAAGGCCCACTTCACACACAGGACGGCCTAAGGATGGCCACTGGCCTCTCAGAGACACCGCACCCCAGATGGCAACAGGACTCGTTACAGTGTTAAGATGAGAAACAACAACAGAATTCATTCAAGGCAGAAGAATTACACAGAGGAAAACTATCCTTCAGAAATAAAAACCAAACAATATGCTTGCAAATGAACAAGGGAGGGGGTGTTCCACCGCCAGACAGCACCAAATGCACACTAAAAGAAGTTCTTCAGGCAGGGATCCACAGTGACAGTGGGAAACAGAAATGCTCTGCTTTTCAATCTGTTGAAGATGCAACTAACTGTTTAAAAATAATAACATAGTACCGAGCATAAACACGTGCAGAAATAAAATACTGACCAGCAACAGCACTAAGGACGCTTGTTAACAAACAAGACCCTGGTGTAGGCTTCTTACATTACAGCTAAGCAATGTGATACTAAGATCAACCATGGAGTCCAGGGTGTAAAAGGCCACAAAAAAATAAAACACACTACTAAAAAAATCATTAACTGAAAAGCAGTAAAATAAGTTTTAAGAAAGGAACAAAAACGAAAATTGACTAACTGGAAATAATTTCAAGGCAGCATGCTTAAAACAATCACTAGTAATTACTAGGTTCGATTTTCACCAACACACACACACACACACACACACACACACACACACACACACACACACACACACACAAATAATTCCACTAACTAACTTACCACACAATTAAAGCACACTGCAGACTTAACAGTATGTGGGCCTCATCCAGCCAGGAGGCCTGTGGACCCGGTTGACCGACCCTCCTGTCTTCCAAACATGATCAATCATCTTTCAATCAAGTCATGTTAGAAGGATGCATGGACTTGGAGGGCAATGAACGGACCATTTTTACAAAAATGAAGAATAAATCTGTTTTCTAAAATGTAAGTGGCCTGCTATGGCGGCAAGGGCATGTAGTTGACTGCTCAGAGGGTTTTAACCACCTTAGGCCTTTTCTTATGGAGTTGCAGGATGTGCTTTTAACTGTACTTCTCTATGAAAGTAATGAAAGTGGTTTCACTAGGAGGTTCTGGGCATGTGGTATGGTCTTACCTGTGTACTCTGTGTGTGTGTGTGTGTGTGTGTGTGTGTGTGTGTGTGTGTGTGTGTGTGGCGGGGGTGGGTTAGGAATGATCTAGGGTACTGAGATGGAGCACACAGACAACACTATGAAGAGGCTGCTGTTTGCCTGGGGCCAGGTTCCATCCAATCCTACCGTTCCTTGTTGATAAAAGTGCGGAGCCAGCTCCAGCAGCCAAGCAGATTCTATGGCAGTCACGTCTCGCATGTAATACTTGGAGGTCTGGATAACTTCGTTGTAGATAACCCTGAAACAAAGAACAAACAGAAACACACGCTGGCAAGTCGTCTCTGCTCTCACCATAGCGGCTGTATACTGTCTGCGTATGGCTCTACACACAGGCCCTGTGGCGGCTCACTCAGCCTCCTGACCCAAGTGGTAAGTCACTGTGTTTCACAGATGCAGCTCTACATCCTACATGATTTCCAGGCTCTCCAGTTATCCACAAAGGACCCTTCCAGATCGTGCCATGCATTTGCAGAGCTCTGAATAGAACTTAAAAACTTAATTACAAAGTATAGAAATGGACTCAGTCTTGATTGTTCTAAAGGGACTGGAAAATGACTATAAAGACATACAAAAGAACCTTCTAGAGTGACAAAAATATTTTAAATGTAACTTTGCATGCAAGTTACACCTCTGTCAAAACCCATCTTTTACTGTCACAAATTATGTCTTAAGAGGAAAAAGACTTATCTAGGATTGAGGAAACACAGCCAAAGAGCAAGGACACGTTCTCTAAGCCCTGGACTTCAGGAGTTCACAGAGTAAACACAAGTTTCTGAACTATGGAAAGAATTAACTCAGGGCATCCTTAACAACTACACACCTATAAATACAAAAGCCACATGGAGTTCGTCTCTCAAACACCAATAAATGAATCTCAGCTGACGGGAAGAAGAGGAGGGGCTGGGAATGTAACAGTTGCTTACCATACTCAAAGCTTGGACGTCCATCCCCAACACAGGAAGAGAGGAAAGAAGAGAGGGAAAACGGAAGAAGAGACGGGAGAGCAGGGAGAGAAGAGAAGATGGGAGGGGACAGGAGGGGAGAGGGGAAATGAATGGAGAGGAGAGGGGCACACATCTAAGTCTGGGTTCCCTCTTGGGCATCTATATACTCGGGGTGGCAGGAAACAGCTCTAAATCAAGCACTAGAGTCACACTTCACCTAGGAAGCTTCTAGATCTTCACTGGTTACAGCATGGTCTAATTCCTCGGGGAATTTAAATGCTCATCAGAAACCCCACCAGACCTCGTTTAAACAGCAGGCCCTGCCCCAGGTTCTGATTCAGGAGGGGTGGGTGGGGCCAAGAACCTGCATTTCCAATATGGTTCCAGGTGCTGCTGCTGCCGGCAGAGCAGGGTACTACTGGGGCCTGACACCAGGGCTCCCAGCCTCCAACCCTATCACTGCACTTTCCAACTTCTCACCACGTGCTCCTGTCTGCCCCAGAGCCTGGTTCTTTCAATCGGTAAAAGGCCAAGTGTTAGTGTCTTTAAAATCTCTAATCCTTTGTCAATCCGTATTTCTGTAGAATACAGTATAAATAAACTAGAAATAGGAAATAAATAGAAAATACAAGCCCAACTTTGCATTGACCTGGGAAGACACAGCGTGACTTGTGAGAACACCATAAAAACACCTGCTGTCTCTTAGTGCTGCACCTGCCTGTCTTCCCAGCCGGTGCTGTGGGCTGGAACCTCCCTTTGGTCACCCTTGACCAGCTCACTGATCATCCCCACAGACACGTGCTTCCTCCATGTTGCCACAGCTTTGCCACCCGGTCTCCTAGGTGTAACTGTCCTTTGAGTCCTTCCCCGCCTAAAAATGCCAGTCACTAGGTCCAGAGCAAGGTTAGTTTCTCCACGAAGCCAGCCTGGCTGTCCGGCACCTTCAGTGCCAACCCCAGCACTGCACACAGCCCTTTGGAAAAGCCACCTCCTACAGGAAGTCCATCTGTTTGCCTGTTAAAGAGTATGGCTGGGATCTAAGTCCTCTCTGCACGCTGTGTCTCGGACAGTAAGCCTTTAGTCAGTGGGTCAAAGTGAGCACCTACTGGGAGGATGAGTGAGGAGACAGACTGCAGTTTGCTTAAGGAGGTATTTTTTTTAAAGAATATTTTATTGAGTATAGTGCAAGGGAGCTGGGTAGTCACTGGAGTACTGTCTACCTTTAGGGGATCCCTGATAGAGCAGAATCCTGGCAACCCAGCACACCAAAGTTGCAAGCCTAGGCCAAGCCTTGGGACCCATGGATGACAAGCAAGACCATGAAGATGGGAGGGGCTTACCAGCGGGGTGGCTTCTCTGCATAGAGGACTGAGGCAGGGTGGATGTGCAGCTCGTGATCATCACGGATAGTCCTATGAGACACAAGAATTCAGCGTGAAGCACACTGCATGCACTTACTATACATAAGACTTTGTAATACTTTACATATTTAAGTACCTTTCCACAAATGGGTTTCTATCAACCCCCCAGGTGCATGTAGATTGGATTTCACATGGACAAGACACTACTCTCTCAGCACACCTCCACCATCACTACCACCCTAGGAACCATGAACCAAGAAAAGGAAGAGGGCTGGACATGGTGAGCACAGCTGTAATCCCAGCTATATGGGATACTGAGTAGGAAGGATGTGGGTTGGGGGCAACTTGTGCAACTTAGCAAGACCCTTCTCTTTCTAAATACAAAGGTGTGAGGTTAGCTCAGCAGCGCAGTGCTTGCCTATTGTGCACAAGGCCCTGGACTTAAGCCCAATACCGAGGGAGGGGGAAGGGGGGCGTGGTGCAACTGGACACTGAGAACAAATCACAGGAAGAGAATGTTCTATCCACATTTATGTTTGTGTCTATCCCCCACAGATTCCCTTTCAAACAATCCCTTCCCAACAGAAACTGGGGCTCCACAGACTTCCTACTGCAGTTAAACACTGACGCCAGGCTACGGCAGGAGGCACTGTAACCAGCGAAGAAACAACTGAGGGCTGCAAAGACACAGAATGCAGCTCCATGTGCCAGCCCATGGCTTACAGCCCTCGAGGACACACTGAACAGCCCACTGGGCAAAGTGGCTTCTCTACAGCACACCACTGTGAACGGTTCCTGCCATACTGAAATGCAGGTACCTGTGTCACCGTGTACAGATGCACTGGGTATTAGGACTCTCCCAGGGAGCAAAGAAAATCTGCTGAAAGCTGGAGAGCCACCCTGTTTTGGAAGGATCCCTGATGTCAGTTAAAAGCTGCTTGATTTCTATCCCTGCAGAGCTTTCTGCTCTCCTTCTCCAAGGAGCTTCGGAGTCTCGTTACCTGTATGCTCCAGAGGAGTGAAACCGGGCTGCATTTGCAAAGAACCCCGACACGATGCACCTCAGGACAGGGTCTGGATCACCTACACAAGGCAGCAACAGAAGGCTGTGAGAGTCAGCACTCTGGCCCATGTTCCACATGCTGAGGCCTGGGTTATGATGCACAGAATCCAGGCCCAGCCCCTCCCCGATGCTCTGGCCACCTGAAACCATCTCTGAGCACACTCAGCCCTGCGCTCCCAGGTCTGACAGCTGCCCAGCAGCTCGAAGAACACGGGGGAACTGCTCCCATAACTATGACGTCCCCAACCAGCCGCAGGCCACAAAGGACTGGGCCTGAGACAGCTGCTCCACAGACTGAGCGGTGAGCTCGGAGATAACTAGGACGTCCCCAACCAGCCGCAGGCCACAAAGGACTGGGCCTGAGACAGCTGCTCCACAGACTGAGCGGTGAGCTCGGAGATAACTAGGACGTCCCCAACCAGCCGCAGGCCACAAAGGACCGGGCCTGAGACAGCTGCTCCACAGACTGAGCAGTGAGCTCGGAGATAACTAGGACGTCCCCAACCAGCCGCAGGCCACAAAGGACTGGGCCTGAGACAGCTGCTCCACAGACTGAGCGGTGAGCTCGGAGATAACTAGGACGTCCCCAACCAGCCGCAGGCCACAAAGGACCGGGCCTGAGACAGCTGCTCCACAGACTGAGCAGTGAGCTCGGAGATAACTAGGACGTCCCCAACCAGCCGCAGGCCACAAAGGACTGGGCCTGAGACAGCTGCTCCACAGACTGAGCGGTGAGCTCGGAGATAACTAGGACGTCCCCAACCAGCCGCAGGCCACAAAGGACTGGGCCTGAGACAGCTGCTCCACAGACTGAGCAGTGAGCTCGGAGATAACTAGGACGTCCCCAACCAGCCGCAGGCCACAAAGGACTGGGCCTGAGACAGCTGCTCCACAGACTGAGCAGTGAGCTCGGAGATAACTAGGACGTCCCCAACCAGCCGCAGGCCACAAAGGACTGGGCCTGAGACAGCTGCTCCACAGACTGAGCAGTGAGCTCGGAGATAACTAGGACGTCCCCAACCAGCCGCAGGCCACAAAGGACTGGACCTGAGACAGCTGCTCCACAGACTGAGCAGTGAGCTCGGAGATAACTAGGACGTCCCCAACCAGCCGCAGGCCACAAAGGACTGGGCCTGAGACAGCTGCTCCACAGACTGAGCAGTGAGCTCGGAGATAACTAGGACGTCCCCAACCAGCCGCAGGCCACAAAGGACTGGGCCTGAGACAGCTGCTCCACAGACTGAGCGGTGAGCTCGGAGATAACTAGGACGTCCCCAACCAGCCGCAGGCCACAAAGGACTGGGCCTGAGACAGCTGCTCCACAGACTGAGCAGTGAGCTCGGAGATAACTAGGACGTCCCCAACCAGCCGCAGGCCACAAAGGACTGGGCCTGAGACAGCTGCTCCACAGACTGAGCAGTGAGCTCGGAGATAACTAGGACGTCCCCAACCAGCCGCAGGCCACAAAGGACTGGGCCTGAGACAGCTGCTCCACAGACTGAGCAGTGAGCTCGGAGATAACTAGGACGTCCCCAACCAGCCGCAGGCCACAAAGGACTGGGCCTGAGACAGCTGCTCCACAGACTGAGCAGTGAGCTCGGAGATAACTAGGACGTCCCCAACCAGCCGCAGGCCACAAAGGACCTGAGACAGCTGCTCCACAGACTGAGCAGTGAGCTCGGAGATAACTAGGACGTCCCCAACCAGCCGCAGGCCACAAAGGACTGGGCCTGAGACAGCTGCTCCACAGACTGAGCAGTGAGCTCGGAGATAACTAGGACGTCCCCAACCAGCCGCAGGCCACAAAGGACTGGGCCTGAGACAGCTGCTCCACAGACTGAGCGGTGAGCTCGGAGATAACTAGGACGTCCCCAACCAGCCGCAGGCCACAAAGGACTGGGCCTGAGACAGCTGCTCCACAGACTGAGCAGTGAGCTCGGAGATAACTAGGACGTCTCCAACCAGCCGCAGGCCACAAAGGACTGGACCTGAGACAGCTGCTCCACAGACTGAGCAGTGAGCTCGGAGATAACTAGGACGTCCCCAACCAGCCGCAGGCCACAAAGGACTGGGCCTGAGACAGCTGCTCCACAGACTGAGCAGTGAGCTCGGAGATAACTAGGACGTCTCCAACCAGCCGCAGGCCACAAAGGACTGGACCTGAGACAGCTGCTCCACAGACTGAGCAGTGAGCTCGGAGATAACTAGGACGTCCCCAACCAGCCGCAGGCCACAAAGGACTGGGCCTGAGACAGCTGCTCCACAGACTGAGCAGTGAGCTCGGAGATAACTAGGACGTCTCCAACCAGCCGCAGGCCACAAAGGACTGGGCCTGAGACAGCTGCTCCACAGACTGAGCAGTGAGCTCGGAGATAACTAGGACGTCCCCAACCAGCCGCAGGCCACAAAGGACTGGGCCTGAGACAGCTGCTCCACAGACTGAGCAGTGAGCTCGGAGATAACTAGGACGTCTCCAACCAGCCGCAGGCCACAAAGGACTGGGCCTGAGACAGCTGCTCCACAGACTGAGCAGTGAGCTCGGAGATAACTAGGACGTCCCCAACCAGCCGCAGGCCACAAAGGACTGGGCCTGAGACAGCTGCTCCACAGACTGAGCAGTGAGCTCGGAGATAACTAGGACGTCCCCAACCAGCCGCAGGCCACAAAGGACTGGGCCTGAGACAGCTGCTCCACAGACTGAGCAGTGAGCTCGGAGATAACTAGGACGTCCCCAACCAGCCGCAGGCCACAAAGGACCGGGCCTGAGACAGCTGCTCCACAGACTGAGCAGTGAGCTCGGAGATAACTAGGACGTCCCCAACCAGCCGCAGGCCACAAAGGACTGGGCCTGAGACAGCTGCTCCACAGACTGAGCAGTGAGCTCGGAGATAACTAGGACGTCCCCAACCAGCCGCAGGCCACAAAGGACTGGACCTGAGACAGCTGCTCCACAGACTGAGCAGTGAGCTCGGAGCAATGTGGAAAATGCTTTCTTCCCTAAGACACAAACCGTGAAAGCACACTGTCCCATCTCTGGCCGTCAGCAAGTTTGCAGTTCTTCACCACTTCCACACATTCTGTTCCTTCTTAACTGACATTTCCATTGCTACAGCAAACACGTCTTTCGTGAATAAAGCATCTCCATTCACTAGCTCACAGCCACGAGATGAATTCTAAATTACCATGCAGGGAATCATCATGTTTTAATGGCTGAAGATATCCCCTACTTCATCAGTTCTAAGCCATTTTAACTCACTCAAGTCAAGACACAATTACAGCGGCAGCCATTCTTTTCTTGGTGATACATAAAATAACGATGAATACATATCTTAGCGCTGATGAAGAACAGTATGTGGGCAAACAGGTCCCTGCAGGTGGTAGCCTTACAGGGCTCTCCAAACCATTTTACTGAATTCTTTACAGCAGGTTTTGGCAAGGGGAAGGGGCTATGTCCTTTTATTTTTTATAAATTAAATTACTACTTGTGTGTTTTTATTTCTTCTTGGTGAATTTTATATTATAACCCTTTGTTTAACCCACCAAACAGGCTCAATAAAGTCACTCTATAATACACGTCGTTTTTAACTGCGTAACTTCGAGAATACATTCACTACTCTCCAGGCTCCCAGATGTGCTGTAATTTACGTGCAACTGCTTGTCCTGTCTGCCCGCTGTTACTGTTCCCAGAGACACTAGGCCTCAGGCCCGCATTCTGCCCACCACCCATCCAGATGCAGCTCCTCTCTCCAGCTGGCCAGAATCCCCATGTATAGCATGCTTTGTTCTCAGGGCTTATTTCAAAAGGGGTAGACATTCCTGTAATAATAGTTGTGACCCTCAAAACTCAGCTTCATAAAATCATTCCTCAGCACTCCATCCCTCTTATTAGGAAGAATTTTAATTCAACATACCCCTCCCCCTGGGCAACGGGTGACAATGACAGGTGAAGACACAGATGCAGAGGTGAGGCTGTCATTTATCTGCCAGGCGACAGGACCCCAGTGAGCAGATGCTCTCCAGCTGGCAGCCCTTGTAAGTGTCCTGTTTCAGCCCATGACATCAACATGGAACCCTGGGCAAGCTCTGGTGGATTTCTCCTTCCCTACATTTATTTCTGCTACTTGCCACTGTCACCCATAGTTACTAGAGTGTCTACATTGTCATTTCTACAAGGCCCTATAGCCTAACACTACAGTCTGTCTGTCTCCATGACACCTCTCTTCACCACACTGGGCTCTCCGTGAACCAAGTTTCCATCATTTTTCCATCACTTGTTATTGGTATAAAAGCAAACAGAACTTCCCAGGTCCTGACTCTAACAAGTTTCCTTTAGCCTAGGGGCCTCATTATTTTCCTTCCATACATGAGATAAAAGCAGCACACGTCTTCCAGAGTGCTCAGTGCATGGTGTGCATTCACACACAACATACTCAGACTGCTGCCTGGCCCAGCAGCCACTGTCAGGAAGTGTCAACAGGTGCTTTTGGCCCAGCAGGCCGCAAGACTGCTAAATGAGCTCAGTGTGTCACTTCCTACAAGACGGATCCTGGCTCTTGGGCTCTGCGGGCTACAAGCTATGTCATCCTGAGGGTCATGTGATTCCTCCCAGGACTCCTGGTTCCGCTGTAAACTAAGGACACCATCATACAGTGGAAGACAAAGAGAGAATGCAGAGACCAACATGGTGCAACCTACTGTGGACTCCACAAATGGGCACCTCAGTCACTGCTACAAGCCAGGACGTCTGGTACAGCCATGTCCTTGCCTTACCCTTGGTGAATGCCTACACTAAACACATGGTGTCTACTTTAATAACACTTGCATCTGAGAAGAAAATGCAAATTTCATGTAACACTACCTATGAATTTCATACATTTAAAAGTCACAATTTGGGGCTGTCAAGATGGCTCAGCAGGTAAAGGCCCTTACAGACAATACCTGAGTTCAGTACATTGTAGAAGAAAAGATCCAACTCTCTGTGCCCACCCAACACACACACACACACACACACACACACACACACACACGAGCGCGCGCAAACACAATCCTAGCACTTTTGGAGGCAGGAGGATCAGAAGTTCAAGGTCATCCTCAGCTATAGTTAAGTCTGAGGTCAGCATGTGCTACATGAGACACTATCTCAAAAAAATGTAAATTTTTGCAACAATCATCATTATATTAATTATATGTGCAATGATGTGGAAGTTAACAATCCTTAAGCATTTTCATAAGCTGTAGAAGTCTGGGGGAGGGGTGACAGCCCAGAGAAATAAGAATGGATCCATCCACAAAGACACCCAGTCTAACATTCACTACTGAAAGGGTGTAGGCAGCTCAGAATGTGAAGTTGGCTGCAGATACACAGCCTCCTATCAGCCCAGCATAAGAACTTGAAGAATGCAACTGTGTGGAGCAGAGAGGGAAGCCACGGGCAGGGACAAGCCACACTCACCTTCGCTGGACATCTTGGGCACCTGGAACTTGACGAGGAGCTTTTTCAACTGTTCTCTCACGGTGGCAGCTCTGACAAGACCCTTGTAATTCAGGAAATGCTCCTGACACCACTGGGAGCTCTTGTTGTGCTGCGGAAGGGCCACCCAGAGGAGACAATGCCTAGTCAGAGACGGCCCCATCGAAGCAATACCGTCAGGGGGCTACTTTCTCTCCCCGACTTGTTGGTCTGATGAGACCTGCCCAACTCTATCTCTAAAGCAACCTGCCTGCTGCCCCACAACCCCACTCTTCACACCAGCAAGCTCAGGAGAACTGAAGGACAAGGTCCATCTAAATACACCACAGGAGTCAGCCCCACCTCCCCATGGCTCTCGGTAAGTCTGTTAACTTCCGCCTCCGGTGGACTTACCTCTTTATTAACTATGGGGAGCAGCACAACCCGTGCAGAAATCATTTTCAAATCCCCATCTGCCCTCAAAGTGGGACTTTTTCTACCAATAGTGCCTTATTTTCTATATTCTTGAGTCCAATCATTACATCATGTGTTAAGTTTTTGCTAAGGAAATATACCTCTAAGATTACATTTTAAGCCAGGAAGGAAAGTTTTTCAAATAAACTTTTAACATAATAACATTTTTAAATGTAATTCACACAGGATTGTTCCAGAAGGCAACCAGAGAATATCCAATGCAGATCTATGGATGCATCCTTCTGTAGTCAAATTCATCTTGGGATGGCACACTGTACCTACATCTTCAATTTTAACTAATTTAATCTGCATCTCATTTATTGAGTAATCACCCTCAAATCTCTGGTAAAATAACTTTGGTATTTCTCTTTTTAAAATACATTAGATTACTGAAAATATGAACTATTATTCTCTTTCGTTTATATTACTTTTTGAAGCTTTCTATCACTGTTTGGCTTTTAAGTGAGAATTTTAAGTCTTATTAATTGCTTTTAGTCCCATGGAGTACTCAGAATGGAAATCAGCACTGCCCATGGCTAACCAAGAGGAGAATATGTGGATACACGCAAGCCTCATTGAACATATTCTTGTGGAAGCTGGGATGCCTTTCAAGACTCAACCCACACAGTTGTGGTTCTCAGTCCAGTCTGGAAGAATTCCCATTCAAATGTTGCCCTTCTTTCCTTGTCCAGTGCATGTGGGACACGGAGGTCAAGCTGTCAGCTGGCCTCAAGTGTAGCACACAGCCAGACAAAGAAAAGCAACATCCCTTAGCCTTTCCAGCAATACTGGTCTCTTCAGTAGGAGGCTAGCAGTCTACCTAACTGGAGAACAGAGGGGTCTCCTGACCAGGTATTTATGAACTAACTTCTGACCTTGCTTCTAGGTCATCTGTGTGTGTGTGTGTGTGTGTGTGTGTGTGTGTGTGTGTGTGTGTGTGTGTGTGTGTGTGTAGGGTCCTCTCAGTATGCCATACTTACTTTGATAAATGCTTCATATACATTGAGCATGGTGAGATGATCACCCTCCTCCACAGCAAATTTCCGGTGCACTCGAGTCTATAAAAGATAAAGTTCCATTTAGAAGTTGACTTCCATGAGTCTCTTGTGCTGAGGGACATGGTATACTTGAGAAGGGCTGACAGCTTGACGTTCCCATGTCCTACAACCATATACCGTTCACTACCTCTTCCCTCTTCTTAGGCACCCTTTAGACCCCATCCTTGAATTCTTCTTTCTGTGGCAAAGATCCTGAATAATGCCACTTGTTCCCTGGGGCTGATGAGCTTCAGATACAATATATATAGTAAAGACACAAATCATTTACTTCAGAACTTTGTCCTTGAACCAAATGCCACATAATCAAACTACCTCCCTGCTTCCTTCCCTCCCCACAACAGACTTTTATCAAGTGCCTCTGTCGATGAAGCGCTGTTCTGAGCACATGAATGCAATCATGAACAAATGGTGGAAGAGAGACATTAAACTACATAAAAAACAGAACTCATAATGTCCCAGAGGTAAGAAGCATGGCAGAGGCAGGGAAGGGCTGCGAGAGGAGACACTGCCATGTTAGACAAAGGGTTTTACACTTCCACTCTGAGTCACCTGCATGAGGTGGGTCTTGAAAGGTTAACTGAAGATACAACAGACAAAGCCACTCGGGTGTGGGTGACAGAATCTACCTCCACAGTGTATAGGAAGATATATAACGATGCTTGTGAACTCTTCCCACAATACACAGCATACTCACTCAACTACAATCTTGAATCTTTTATACAACTGTCTTCAGTGGTTTCTAGGTGAGTTTTGACAAAAATGTGCAAGAGAGCAGTGTGAAGAGCTTGGGAGAAGCTGGACTTACTGCCTGAGATTTCTGGTTTGAGGGGAACACAAAGACATTCTGGATCTGCATCATGGCAGCGATGCTCAGAACCTCCTGAGAACAGCCGAAGTTCCCTAGAACATAAAAGGCGTGTTTGCAAACACAGTGGCGATCTCAGGACCTCCTGAGAACAGCCCAAGTTCCCTAGAACATGAAAGGTGTGTCTGCAAACAGACAGTGTAGCAACAAGGACTGAAGGGCACTTCCCAATGCCTTCCTTGAACCATGTTGTAAAATGTAAAATAAGATCATATTTTATAGTTCTTTCTTCAAGCCCCTAGCATACAAGTACTTACCATGCCATGAATGGCCCCATGTGTCCCAACTGAGGAGTATTCCCTGCAGCACTAAGGCTGAGGACTCTTGATCCAGCCAGGGGGAGGCTACATTGGCCTGCACCAAGGGCAGGTCAGTGGCATGCCTGCTTCCTGCCCGCTATGTGGACAGCTCGAGTCCAGGTAAAAGCACAGAGGAAAAGGCGAGGATGTGTAGGGCTGTGTTCCTCCTACCGTCCTTCCACTCCTGGCCCATCTGTGGGGTGGCCGGCCTCTCCCAAGTACTCCTCTGCTCTGGGCACAAGTCTGTAGCACAGGCAACCAGGGCAGCATCCTGAGCTGCTGCTGCCTCCTGAGAACAGATTCTGCAGGAGCTCATCAACCAGGACACTAGACAAAGTACTCCTGCCTGGCTCCCCACTGCTGCCTACCTGAAGCGTAACGGATTCTGCTTTTGCTGCATTTAGAATCTGTTTCTCAGGGAAGGGGGACTCTTAGAGTTAACTTTCACCATGCTACTTTTGAAACATGCCTCCATAAACTGCCACTTGTTATAACAGACAAAGGCATAAAATATTAACAGCACCGTTCCCAGGGAGCAGGGATAGCTCCTGTACCACCAAGATGTTTGTAACTAGAAAAACAGACCGTGCCCTAGTTCACATCCTCACAAAAATCAACAGAGAAACTGGAACTAACTCTGTATGCTGCTTCAGAATATAAAGTCACACAGCCACTGTGGCACACAGTGTGATGATTTCTCAGACAGCTGAAGTTAGCACAGCCATTCCAGAAAATACAAGGATGTTCCTCAGAAACCTAAAACAGAATGGCCATGTGATACAGCAACCCTGCTTCTGCACATGCTCCAAAGAACTAAAATTGGTGTGTGGAAGGAAAACCACACTCTGGTGCCCACTGCAGAGAACTGCTGTGGGATGGTCTGTATGTCAAATGTGTTGCTGATTGGTCAATGAATAAATCACTGATTGGCAGTGGCCAGGCAGGAAGTATAGGCGGGACTAACAGAGAGGAAAATTGAGAGAACAGGAAGCTGGGAGGGGAGACACTGCCAGCCGCCATCAGGAGAAGGAAGATGTAAAGTACCGGTAAGCCACAAGCCACGTGGCAAGGTATAGATTAATAGAAATGGATTAATTTAAGCTGTAAGAACAGTTAGCAAGAAGCCTGCCACGGCCATACAGTTTGTAACCAAAATAAGTCTCTGTGTTTACTTGATCGGGTTTGAGCGGCTTGGGACTGGCGGGTGAGAGAGATTTGCCCTGACTGTGGGCCAGGCAGAAAAACTCTAGCAACAGAGAACACAAATGCACAAGTCGAAGAGGAATGGGGAAAGACAACATGATACATACAATGGGATACTTCTTACACACTCTTTAAGAAAAAGTAAACTCTGTCATTCAAGACAATGCGGATGGCAGTGGAGCACGTTGGGCGCAGTGAAGTCTGCCAGGCCCAGGGCACAAATGCACACTTCAGTTACACATGGGAACAGAGTGGAAAGCAGCTGCTAGAGGCTGGGTGAAGGGGAGCAGTGATCAAGACTGGAGACGTTGCTTGCTTAAGGGATGCAGTTTCAGGCTGGAGGAGTGAGTTGTAGTGATCACCACGTTGTGATGTTCAGTTCAAATTGCTAAGGGGAAGTGTCAAATGTAATGATGAGCTAATTACCTGGACAGAGGTTTTCCAGGATAGGCATCAAATATTACACTGTCTTATAAACACACGTTCCCATCTTTAGTCAAAAATAAATACTTTACTGCTGTTGTCACTTTTTAAACCATAACCGGCCCTTCTTCCTTTGGTGTACAGAATTCAGGGAAACGAGTTCTTTGGAAACGAAAATAAAGTCAAACGGAGCTGTCAGGCTCCACCCACCTGATTCCAACAGCATCTTGGCAAACATGGGGTTCAGAGGGAACTCTGCGATTCTCATGCCGAGCGGCTCAGTTAGGCGGCAATCTTTGTCCAGGCCTGTTAGAACGGAAGAATCAGAAGGCATGTACCACTGTGCTGGAAGAGGAACGGTAGCTGTGAGAATAAAGGATGACTCATTGCTACTAAACCCAGCCTGACACAGGCGCCGTTACATTCAAAGAGAAGGGTCACACTGAGCTCAATGCCCAGTTTTTAACAGCTGCTGCTTCTAACGAACTCTACTGAAGGACTTCATTACAGGCAGCAGCCTGCACTTCCTCCTGCTCCCTCTCTCTCCACCCCACAGGATGCTCCAGAGACCTCCCTCAGTGGGAACTGACAACTGGGAACACAAACATGGCCTCTGTCTGCCTCCAGCAGCAACTGTGGCTGCTGACCACCTTCTCCTCACTACTCTCCCCCAGTCCCCATGACATGAGCCCCACTTTCTCACCTTCTGGATCTTACTCCCTAGCTAAGACCTGATATGCCACACATCTTCTAAGACAGTGCCTCAAAATCCTGCTCTGCTCACACCATATGAGCAATCCCAAGTTTGGCACTCAGAATCTCAACTCTGGCTCTGACTCTCTCCCACTTGAACTAGACAGACTCCTCCATACTTCACCACTACCCTACCACCACCTTTCCCATGGACCTCTACCAATCCCCAGTATCAGGCCCAGGATTCCAAGGTACAGATGACCATTCACCCACCAAATAACTGCTCTGAAAGCTTGGAAGGAGCCAGAAAAGTTATGTCCTTTTTGTTCCAATACAATTGTCTTTTTTGAAACTGGGGCTTCCCCAACACTCTCCAGAGTGTTTATACTGTGAGGGACAGTCTGCCCACTGTTCTACTTTCAGAACAACCCTTGCAGAGGATAAATGACACATAACCAGCATTCCCCTGCTCCTCAGTACACACAGCCCCTGTCATTCACTGAGAGCTGGGGACACAAACCCAACAAGACATACAATCTGAGCTAATGTCTGTGGCCCAAGCAAAAGAGCTTTTGTCAGTGGAGAGCTTTTAAAGTCACAATTGACTATTCCTTCACAGAGAAAGAAGAAAACATAATAAATGAAAATGGACACACACACTAACCAGAACAGATCGCAGACTTAAGTACAAGGGCTAAAACTCCAAAAAACACTTGTAAGTAAAATGCAAGGAGTATCAGCAGTGGCATTTCTATTCGGCTCGTCTGGCTGGTGCTTGGAATACTAGCTGATGCACTCAAGGTCTCAAACACACCAAACACATGTTCTACAAGTGAGCGAGGGACCCCAGCCTCACAGCAGTGTGTCCTTGACACAAGGACAAAGGCACAAGTGACAAAGAAAAGCGGAGGAAAGCAGGTGACAAGTCAAAACTGTGGATTACACAGGACATCTCCGAGAAAGTGGGGCAAGCACTTACAATGACATGGGGATCTATAATCAGAACATGTGAAGAACTCCAACTCAGTACTAAAAAGAACACAAACACACACCAGCAAGCAAGCTGAACTGACAAACTGCTGAGCACTATACAGTGAATCTCCGTGTCTACGGATTCCATACCCTTAGATTCAACCAATTTCCACTGGAAATATTTGAGAAAACAACTGTCTGAACAATCACACCCAGACTCTTCTACTGCCCCGGTTCCCGGAACAATACAGTAGAAAAAACACTGACAGGGTATGCACACGGGGGGTAGGTATAAGCCACCTAGAGACAGCTGAAAGTATATGGGAAGATGTGTGAGTTATGTCCAAACACTACATCGTTTTACATGAGACTTGAGTATCCCTAGACTTCAGGTATCTGAAGTAAGTCCTGAAGGAAATCCCCATGGATACAGAAGGACTAGAGACACTAGTCTTGCAAACTGACTTGCTAACAAGCAGGAAGGTTCTCAATACCATAAGTCATCAGACATGCAATGAAATGAGACATGCAAATGAAAACTACCAGAAACCATTTCATATCCACTAGGTCCGCTGTGATTCAAAAAGACAGACAATAACAAGTGTTGGCAACAGTGTAGAGAAAGTGGTGGGGGATGTCCATCAAAGACTCACACGCTCACAGCCTTATTTATACTGACCAAAAAGAAACAACTCACAATACCCACTAGCTAAAGAATAGAAAAAAATCATTATATGGTATGTCCATACACTGGAATATTATTTAGCAGTAAAAATAAATGTTATACTGATACTTGCTACAAGTGATACATGGATAACCCTGGAAAGAGTTAAGTTAAAGAATCCAGTCACCAAAGACAACCTGAGATCCCATTCTAAGCAATGTTTAAACGAGGCAAATCCATAGAGACAGCAGGTTAGAGGCTGCCTGGGAGTCGAGGAGGACAGGAATGGAGAGAGAGCACTGAAAGACACACATTTCTTTTTGGAATGATGAAATGTTCTACAGCTGGATTGTACTGAAGACAAGATGATACTGTGACACCAGAAGTTCTCGAACAGTAAGTTACATATTAATGAACTGTACAGTATATGATGTGTGCCTTAATAAAGCAATTTTTAGAATACTGAAGACAAATCTCAGGGCAAAGGCCTGAACTAAAACTTCCTGACAAACTCAATCCCCCACTCACAGCACCTCCCAAGAGGACACCACTCACAGGGCAGAGAGCACAGAAGAGATGGTACCTCCCAAGAGGACACCATTCGCTCTAACTTAAGGCACATACTGTGCTTTCAAATGAACCAACAGGGCTTGCTCCACAAACAGGGTGCTCTTGCACTAACTATACCACAGGCTGCTGTCTGCCCTATTCCCACAGGGAACTCAGGGCTGAAATGAAGGGGGTTTCAGGATGGGGCTGGGAAAGAAATAGGGGCCTGAGAATGAGAACTGAGGTTCATAGAGATCTGCCAGTCTCTGGGTGTCTCTTGAAGTGTACCCTGGTGATGGCTGAAGGCACTCTAGCCAGCCCGAGCATGACAAACAGGGCTCTAGCAGACCTTGCCCTTCTCCCCCATTCCCTCTGCCTTGCTAAAAACCATTAATTACATTCCTGAAGCTAGCCCTCAAGGTCTATTCCTTTATTTGGCCACTTCCTCCTCTTGAGGCTGACTACCAAAGTCTAGCTATCCAAGTACTAAAGCCCAGCAATCAAAATCCCCCTTTGGCTCACCTAATTAACATGCCCAATTAAAATGAAACACCTCATCCTAACACAGGGTTCCCCATGTATCCTTTATAAACCTCCATTTACCTGTGGGCCACATCTGTCTCCTCTCCATCCAGAGGCAGTCCTTTGTTCCCTGGGGACAAACATCCCTTCCCCCTCTCCCTTGTTCCCCTTCCTTCCTCCCTCATCCATTGTCTCCTGTCTTTGTCTCTTATTCCCCGCCTCTGGGGCAAATACATCTCCTTTGTGCTGGGAACTTGGTCTTAAAGGTCCTGAGCCATCCTTTTGACAGCCATCCACAGTTTCTGCCACACTTTATAAATTATCATATTGGCCACGAGTTACCTTTGTTTACTAATTTCTATTTCAACAGAGTAAATGTCACTGAAGAGATTATTCACAAGGGGAGAGCCAATCCCATTCCTAAAGACTCTAAAAATTCTAATGTGAATCCAGCTACCCATGTTGTGGACTATTAGTTGAAGATATGTTGTATTTGGTTATGCTGGAAACATTTATTTAAAGATGCAAAGAGGTGCTGCATTCTTTTATGTTACATTTAACTCTGTGTTACTTTGCCTGTCTAAAACATCTGATTGGTCTAGTAAAGAGCTGAACAGCCAATAGCTAAGCAGGACAAAGGATAGGTGGGGCTGGCAGGCAGAGAGAATAAATAGGAGGAGAAATCTGGTAAGAAAGGATGAAAGAGTGAGTAGGAGGAGGAGGAGAGGAGGACGCCAGGGGCCAGCCACCCAGCTACACAGCAAGCCATGGAGTAAGAAGCAAAGAATGGTTTACAGAAATAGAGAAAGGTAAACCCCAGAGGCAAAGGTAGATGGATAATTTAAGAAAAGCTGGCTAGAAACAAGCCAAGCTAAGGCCGGGCATTCATAAGAAAGAATAAGCTTCCGTGTGATTATTACAGAGCTGGGTGGTGGGCCCCCAAAAGGGTAAAAAGAACCAACAACATACCTATTATCATACAAGAGAACACATGAGAAATGGGCATACCTCCGAGAGCGTAGAGTAATTCCAAGGCTTGAACCATCGACTGTGCTGGCGGGGGCTGAAAAACACACAAAAGTCCTCCTAGATTAGTTTCTTTGACAAGGAGCTGAGAAAACGTGACCACTCTGGCTCACTCTCCCTCTATCACGCCTATCCACCCAGTCTCCACGCTGCTGGTACCTAAAACTTCGCCTCCCACCTCTGCAGCATCCTTGGCAGTGCCTTCTCCAAGACTTAACTGCTTTTCAAGCTGCCCTCCCTCACCCCCACTCCATCAGTGGAGACAGCCCCCTATTCTAAACCACCCCTTCACTACCCTAAGCTCCCCTCAGCCTTCTCCTGTACTGGGAGCTACAAATCCTGCAGCACAGGGAAAGTATTAACTTCTACTGCCCAGGTCTTGCCAAGAGCTAGTAACATGTTCAAATTGCTGAAAATACAGAGAACGTTAATACTGCAAAGTGCATCAAGGCTCACACTGTGCCCTTCAATGGGTGCTCCGACACCTCTTTCCCTCTCTTAAAATGCTCGCTGAGAACCTTTGCATGCCAGGCATCAGTGGTCCCTTCGAGGGACTCAATTCCTAGTAAACCAGCTAACAAGATCAGTACCTTTCCAGACTGCTCTGCCTCTCTTCTGAATTTGCAGAGCAGCAAATGTGCTTTAACTCCATTTCACAGATGAGGAAAGTACTGGTAAGAAAAGGTCATCTGAACAAGGCTTTGCAGCCCTTGACAGCAGGGTCAGAAGCTAAACTGAGGCCTTTTTGTTGTTGTTTGCCAAAGAACAAAGTCAAGCCTTTAAAAGATCTAGTGACCGACTAAATAGTCTTTACAGTGTGGGACTGACATGCAGCTTGTGAACCAAGCTTCCCTCAGCTATCACTGAATTCTTCAGAGAGGCAATGTACACACCAGCTCAGCCATCTGGAGAGCTACTGTGAGAAAGTAACAGAACAGCAAGGCACCATGTTAGTACATCCAGGTTCCTGTGGGCACACACGGTCTTGTTCTGTGTTCTCCTGCTCTGTCTCTTGCACTCACAGAAGCTCCAGGGTAATTACTTTGGATCACTACACAATACTCCACTAGTGTCATACTCTATAAAGAAGTCAATTCTTCTATAAGTCGGCAGATGACAAATACTCTCAGAAATTACTAACAAACATTAACAGATAAGCAAGCTTAAAAATTTATATGAAATATAAAGTGACCGATAAACTTTAAAAAAATCTACTATATGAGAAACAACAAAAAGAATGGATATAACGTCTTTGCCACTGACCCACCATTACATTGTGCACCCGAGAGGGAATGATGAGTGTAGTGGGAGCATCCAGGCCAGGCTGCACACGCCGCTGAGACCCTAGCAGAGCCAGGCAGCCGTGCATCAGGAGTCTACAGAAGGCCAAAGACTCCACTCCTAGAACCTGCCTTAGAAAATCATCATAGAGACCGTGAGCCACAGGGTCCCTCCCAAAGCCTTGAGTTCCCTCAGCCTTAATACTCTACAGCTAGGCCGTTCACACCCTCTGGGTCTAATGATAGCTCACACAGGAGGGACGAACCGGCTGGAGGCCCCTTCCTTCGTCTCTCTGAGCACTGGTCAAGCTGCCCTGTGACCACTCACTCACTCATCTCTCCCCTAGAACAAAGGACAGGAGCTACAGAGGAAGAAGAACTCTGGCTCTCCGGGCCGCCAGTTTGCCCCACACCCTGCACAGGACCAAGTGGCATATGGTGTTTTAGCTGAGGGGAAAGAAGAAGATGTCATATCTTCACACCAAAACCCCATGAGCTCCTCAGCCAGAAGCAGGACTTACAGACATGAAGTGGAACCTGAGGACATTGTCGATCCCTAGGGCTTTCAGCTGCAGGATGACGGGGGCCAAATTGCTGCGCTGCATCTCAGGGACAGTGGACTGAGGTAACTGGTCAAAGGCATCCTCTAAGGACAGGATCAGAAAGGGATCAAATGGGACACTCACATGCACCATATGCCAGAGTCTTCCTTCTCTGCCTTGAGCCAGAGCTCTGTGATTCTGGGACCAGGTACACAACATTATGATACAAAGTTGTTTTTATATTCTACTTCAAAAATATATTGAAAAATATACTTAAATATATACATAAATATATACACACACACATATATATAAATACACACTTATATTTATGTATGAAAATATACCCCAATAAAAAACACGTTACTTTACTTCAGAATGATACTTTTCAAATGTCTTTTCATCAGTGAAATACAAAGCAACAAGTATGTGCATAATCACTATCAGGCCCAGTTACTGTTAACTCTGCTTAGGGTAGGGTACATCAAGGAAGCAAGAAGAGCACAAATAAGCAAAAAACAACGTAAAAATAAATCACTAAAACTGCCACCACAATCTGATGAAGGACCTAATTACAAAGAGCAAAAATTGTACAAACACAGCTTTAAAATCAAGGAATCAAATGCAGCGTCGCACCCAGGATCCTGTCCTTGCATGTCCCACAGGAACAAAGGGTGACCTCAAACAGGAGAAAGCACCCCAAGGCAGAGAGGTAGGGGTGGAGGGGGGAGGACAGGAGTCAGGGGAGGACTTTATGAAACCAGACCAAGGGGTGGGGAGAAGGAGGGCATGAAATCATTTCTGTGTGTACCAGAAAGCCCATGGATTATACACGCCAAATCCTCCCGCCTAAGTCAACACTATACAGATGCACACCCTTCCTAAACACCAGCATCACCCGCCCAGCCTCCATTTAGACCAGAAAGCTACAGCTAACTAGAGAGGAAATAAGCACACCAGAGTCTCCTGGAGAAACACTACTATCAACAGAACTTCAAAAGGGTTGTCTCTAAGAAAAAAGACAGCCAATATTCCGGACTGTGAACATAAACTGCCAAATGCCTGGGTCTAGCTGGAAGGTTCTAGATGGCAGACAACAGAAGGAAAGGAAACTCTTTATTTATAAGAACACTGTGGATACAATACTGTTACCAGGACAACCACATTCTCCAAGTACACCACTGACCAGGGCAGAAACAAGTCATTAGCTGAGAGACTGGCCCTACTGAGAAGACGCTGAGGGAAGCAGGTATTGATGCTCAGAGATGAAGACGTGATGGCACTCAGAAGCTACAAAGGCCCCGAGCACAGGCAATGCCCCGGGGAGTGTCAAAGGTAGGAAGGACCTGGATCAAGACCAGAAAACAGGCCCTACTAGGAGCAAATGCTCCTCCCATGAACCACTGGAGGTCAGGAAGGAGGACATCAGAGACTGGGGAAAAGGCTCTACAGGGGCTGCCGTGAGCATCAGGAGGATCTGCTGGGCAAGACAGACAAGGCATCAAAGGTATGAGTGGAGGAAGTGGGAAACAGAGGGCGTGTCTAAGAACAGAGTACAGCTGAGAACATAGTAGAATATAAGTGAGAACAGAGGAGCTGAGGAAAAGCTCAAAGATTCTGGAAAACGAAATGATCTGCACCATCTGAAAACTCAGCTAAGATCTGAAGGCTGGGCACTAACACACTGCTACTACCCCTGGCCCTTCCCAACCACACTCATGCTAAAGCAGCTACAACTAAGGACTCAGTAACCTTCCACCCAAATGCACCTGCCCAGCTTTGGTCCATGTCCTATCACATGATTTCTTTGACACATGAGATGCTGGTACCCATTTCCACTTTAAAAATAATTTGAGCTGGAATTGAGAGATGGCTCAGTGGTTAAGAGCATTGGCTGCATCTGCAAAGGACCCAGGTTCAGCTCCCTAGCACCCATGTGGTAGGACAGAATCACCTGTAATTCCAAGTCTAGGACATGCAACACTCTCTTCTGACCTCCTCAGGTACCAGGCATACATGCGGTGCACAGACATACATTAAGGCAAAAAAACACAAACTAAAATTACACAAAACTAAAAGTAATAACTTGAGTTGTTGGAAATGGTGGCACACATCTTTAAATCCCAGCACTTGTGAGGCAAAGGTAGGGAAATCTCTGAGTCTGAGGCCAGCCTGGGCTACACAGAGAGACTCTGCCTCAAAAATAAATAAATAAAACAACTTGAGTTCCTTTAAAAGTTAAACACACAATTACTTTATCTACAATTCTGCAGTTCCTCAAAGAATAAAGGTTTTTCTGCATGTCTCAAGTCCATGCACACACTTATCCCCAGTACCACTAACCCCTAAAGCCTAAGAGAAACAGCGTAAATAATGAATGGACAGATTGTGTGCATGTACATAATGGACTATTACTCAGTCATGCCATTCCCTCTCCCTACTGTTCTGAAACCAGTCTCCGGGGCCCTACCCCCTCCACTTGGACAGCCTGGGCTGCCAGTAAGAACAGGCTCAAACACTGCATGGGCTGTGAGGCCCTCCCTGCTCCCCAACTCCCAGCAGGGGAAAATGCACCCTCTCTGCTTCGATGGCCTCCTTTCCTCTACAGCCACTTATCATACCAGGGCATGTTGCTCTTTTCCTGGGTCTGCTTCTACCACCATACCATCTATAATGTAGCCACGGCACATGGCTTACTGAGCCCTAGGAGCCCAGGCCCTGATGACATGCTGGGGAAAAAGGAGGGCTAGGTGTGAAGATCAAGGAGTAGTGATGTTCTGAGTTCCATACCCCACAGAGGAAAAGAGAGAGCAGGACAGGCAGATATACATCAATGACTATACAAGGATGATGGACACAGGGAAGAAAGAAAGATACCTGGCAGTGCTTAGCTCTCAGATTCTTAAGCAACTGCAGGTGGATACTGAATAGAGGAAGGACTAATGACTGGAAAATTCCATCTGCACACCAGGAAGATGTGTGCAGAGGCAAGGGGTGGGGGCAGGGTCTCAGTACCACTCCCAGTGAAAGAGACACACGGAGAAACAGCAGCTCTGGAGCATCACAGTACCTGTGCCTCCCAGTATCAGCAGGCTGAGAGGAAAGCTCGTTAAGGGCCAGGACTGTGCCCTCAGAACCTAGCATGGCTCAGAGGGATCTGTTGTCTGTGAATGAGTCTCAGAACAACTCAGAAAAGACAAACAGGGATGTGATGTGAGCGGCCACTGGATTCAGGAGTCTCAGGGTAAGAACACAGCACATTAGACAGAACAGACGGGAGGAAGACAGCACTTGATGTCAGCTAGGGGGTCTGACACGGGTCCCAACACAGGTTAAAACAGATGTGGCAGGCAGGCGGTGGTTCACTGAGCTAACCTTGGCCAACCGGGAGTCCTAGCAAAGAAGACAAGAAGTGGTGGGGTCCCTGGGAGGGAGAGCTGGATTTTATGGTAAGTTTTGCCACAAGGGACAAATGTCTGCCCTATGATCCAAAGCCCAGGCTACAATAAGAAAATGCAAAGTTGTTAAGAAATACCATACATACCTGTATAAAGGCGGTAACACTTTCCGGAGCGGTTGCGCCCACCACGTCCTGCCCTCTGATTGGCTGACGCCTGAGACACTGGTACCACCACCAAGCATTCAATAGCTGTCCTGGGGTTGTAGGCTCGGAGCTTCATAAAGCCACAGTCAATTACATACACAATGCCACTGATTGTGATGGAAGTTTCTGCCACATTGGTGGCCACAATCACCTACCAAGAAGAGAAAGAAAGCTAGTTGATTCTTTCCACTTTAAATAAGCTTAAAAATCCGACAGATATTTTGATATTTCAAACATCATGATGTGAGGCAGGAGTTAAAGAACCAGGATACGGGGTGGAAATGTTCCAGTTCTACAACCACACACAGCTCCCTCAAGCTCCTGAGCCCTCCTTCCTCATCTACATAGTATGACCACCGCCTCCCCAGGGTAGTCGAGGGGAGAAGATCCAAACATAAAGAGATCAGAACCTAACACTGAGCACACGGTGAGTTCTTCATGTCTGTTTTCTCTTTCGCACCACCAAACAGCCATCTCGTACAGCCATGTTCATCTACTTACTCACTATCTCTATGGCTCTGCATTTGACCAAGCGCTGTTGAAGGTGGGAGGAATGTTCAATGGAGGAGAGAGAGCCCTGCTCTCCAGAGTTCAAGTTCTAGTCTAGTGTGTCTACAGTGGAAGCACCTCTAACAGGCTGATAACTTCAGAGAGCAGCAGGTACCAGGGAGAAAGCACAACCCAGTAAGAGTATATGCTGTGCCACTATACGCTATATAGCACACATTACACATTATATATTATAATAAAGTTTCCCCTTCACATTGCTGTCCAGAGAAAACATCACTGAAAGATGAATGTGAGCTGAGGACTACCATCAGGAACTAGCCACCCCTACAGAGACCAGAGAGAAGAGCCACAGGAAGGAGATACTGCCAACACAGCCACTGTGCGGAGCTTAGGGACAAAGGAGGCCGAGCTAGTGTGCAGCAGTCTCTGGCTACCGCGCATACCTGCCAGCTGTCTTTGCCAGGTTTGATGCAGATGGGGACAGGTATATAAAACACACACAACTTTGTTTCAAACACTTCACATTTTATAAAATCATTTTATGAAAATCTTCCTACTTTTATATAATAGAGGGTTGCAATTTTACACTTACTACAAAGCCTTCTATCTAAAAGCTGTTACAGCTGAGACAGGTGAGCTGGCTCGGCGGGTAAGGGGACCTGCTGTCAGACCTGACAACCTGAGTTCAATCCCTGAGACCCACATGGTAGAAGGAGAGAATTGACTCCATAAGTACACTCTGACCTCCATATGTGCCATGGCACATATATGCCTGGTCCCACCCCACATAAATAAATGTAATGAAAATTTTAATTACATGTTCTACAGCTAGGAACTCTAAGACCAGAAGCTAAGTAACTTAGGGCAAGGCACGCAGCAACTCAAGATTAAAACCCGGCCTGTAGATTGGCTGACCACAGTTCGTGTGTGACTGGGCAGGTTCAGACTATTCCATGCCAAATGGTCTGAAGCTGGGAGTGGGTCCTCAGACCCAGACCATCCCTCGCCTACTTCACCTGCCATAGACTCCACATCTGGGAAGGAGAAAGGAGAGGAGAAGGGGCAGAAATCAAGCTCCTGGTTCCTCCCATCCAGTGCTTCTTGCCACCACACCCATCCTCAACCTAATTTCAAAGCTAGATATTTAAGTGATTTAAACTTGACTCTAAAAGCAAACTGGATTAGGAACCACTGCTAGTAACTTTATATAGTTCTGACTGACCACAATCCACTGACAGTCTCTGAGGCTAAGGCAATAACGTGTCAAGAAAAATATTAGGCAGACAAAGAAAAGCTACAAGAAGTGAGCTGCTCTGATAATTACTGTCAAAGTGGCCTTTCTCAGGGCAGGTTTGGAAATCCTCACAGCACACTACCTACTATGCATTTTTAGATCTACTGTATAGAAACACGGATCTCAGGTTTGAAAGAAAAGTCCTGCTTAGCAAAGTTCACTTTGATTAAAAAAATAAAACAGGTGAAGGGATAGAGAGATGGCTCAGCAGTTAGGAGTACTAACTGCTCTTCCAAAGGATCTGGGTTCAATTCCCAGCACCCATGTGGCAGCTCACACCTGTCTGCACCTCCAAGATCCGACACTCTCACACAGACAGACATGCAGGCCAAACACCAATGCACATAAAGTGAAAATAAATACATTATAAAAATAAAACATGGTCTGGGAGATGGCTCAGAGGGCAAAGTGCCGGCTGGGCAAGTGTGGGGCTCTGAGTCCCCAGAACCCATACATAGCCAGGTAGGGTAGCATGCATCTGTAATCCCAGAACTCACAGTGAGAGGAGGCAGAGAGAGAGAAAAACCCCAGCATCTGTGGGCCACCTAGCCTGGCAGACACAGTAGCAAGCAGCAGAGACTGTCTCCATCAAGGCTGTCCTCTGACCTCAACATATGCACTGTGGCATATGCCCACGCTTACGCACATGAATACACACACACACACACACACACACACACACACACGCACACACACACACACACACACACACACGAGCACACATTAATACAAACACATACCAAAAACAACTTTGTGGTATACGACAAAGGGGAGCCAATGTGATTACAAACGGCTGCAAGCACCACTGACCAGTAGGAGTCTCACCTTTCTGACGCTGTGTGACACCCTCTCAAACACCTTCATCTGCTCAAAAGAAGGCAGTCCTGCATACATGGGGAGAACCCGGAGGTGTTTCTTCATCCCCGTGCGAGCCAGAGCCCGTGCCTGCTCGATCAGCATGGATACAACGGTTTCTACTTCTTCCTAAACGCAGAACCAGAAGCCAGAGAAGCTGGTCACGCCATCACACTGAAAGAACAAACGCTGACACACGGGCTTTAACTCTGGTCACTGCAGCAACCGTAGTGCTGCCATGTCCCACTCAGGACGGCAGCCAATCAAACGCTACCAAATAACAGTATCAAAGGTGAGAAACTGTAACTGTACAATTAATTAGTAAAACTAAACCTTCTGGAGTTAAGAGATGAGTTCCCATAAATAAACAATGAGGAAGTGGAGAGACGGCTCAGTGGTAAAGTGTGTACTGCTCTTGCAGAGGACCTGAGTTCAGTTCCCATCACCCACATCAGGCAGCTTACTCTGCCTGTGACTCCAGCTCCAGGGTATCCCACACCCTCTTCAGGCCTCCACACAGGCATCTGCACTCACTGGACATAGATCTACACAAACATATAATTCTTAAATGACTATTTTTACACAGCTTTTATGGACCGAGGCAAACAGCATTCCACGTGGACGGACATGCGGAGCATTCTGTGCATGTGGACAAGCTGCGGCCTATGACGTCATGGCAAGCTTTCCTAAGAGAAGATTACTAACTATGGGAAAGTTTGGCAGTGGAAAAGGCTGCAGCTGGATGTAGTTCTGAGAAGAGCTATAACCATAAGAGAGTATTCTGGCTCATTCAGTTGTTTTCCACTATGTGGCCACTGGCCACTGCACAATGAGCTGGAAAGATGTCCAAATTAAAGGACCCACTCCTAACGTCAGGCCACTTAGGAAAGGGTACCCAACTTTTTGGCCACAGGTTGGGATTGAAACATGCACAAAGCACAATATACCTAGTGCAACATCCAACACTGGCAAACAAAACAGCCCATTTGATGTAAAACCTAATTTATTCTGAAATCACTGTAATACATTTAAAATATGGGGACAGGAGAGATGGTTCAGAGGTTAAGAGTACTCGCTGCTCTTTTAGAGGACTTGGGTTCCAATAGACCTGACACTCTCTTGTGTCCTCCATGGGCACATGCACCCACATGGTGATACACAAAGGCTCACACACATACACAAAAAATAAAATTAAAATAAAAAATGCAATTAACCCTCTATGGACAGAATAGGGAAGAGTTAATGACCCTCTGACAATCTAGATGGTAGACAATGACATCACACCAACAATTTTTTTATGCAATTTAGCAACTACAAAATGCAATGAAACATGACACAAGGGACTGGAGAGATGGCTCAGTAATTAAAAGCACTGACTACTCTTCCAGAGGACCTATGCTTAATTCCCAGCACCTACATGGCAGCTCACAACCATCTGTAACTCCAATTCCAGGCTACCTGACACTGTTTTCTGATCTCCTCAGGCACCAAGCATGCAGGCAAAACAGCCACACATATTTAAAAAAGAAAAAAAAAAGAGAGAGAGAGAGAGAGAGAGGAAAAGAAACAAATGGCTAAGAACAGAGCTCTATGTTAATTCTGGTGTTGCTCTAACACGTCTATGCAGAGGGACTGGGTGGAGTTACCTGACCAGTAAGGAAGGCTAGTATATCTCCATCTCCCTCTGTCTGGTGAATTTTTACCACAGTGTCCACAGTTGCCTTGATATAATCTGGAACAGGACTGGAAAAAATACATGAGGAAAAAGATCATCACTGGAACAAGCTCATTAATCACAGATCCAATTACACTAATAACCTGGCAGCAAAACCTCATCAGAGTTAGTTTGGGCCAGCCCAGCAGGTAATTAGCATATGGATAAGTAAAATAAATGTGCACTCCTTTTTTTCAAATGCAGTAATCAAGAACTGATGGTGTATCTCAATGGTACAGCACTTGCCTAACATCTGTAAGGTCCTAGGTTCAATTCCCAGCACAAGAAAGAAAAAAAATGACATTAAATGCAGCACTTCTGTACATAATTACATGTAAACAATGGTTTTCAGCTATATTTGCTAAGAAATAAAGACTATTCTGGAAGATAGAATGTTCTGGAAGCATCACTGCTGAATTCAGTCTTGACTCTCCTGTACAAATTTTCATGCATCTGTAGCCATCAGCTCAGCTGGAGAGATTAACTCAGTAAGAGGCTAGTGGGAGGCGCATGCATATTATTTATCTTCAGCTTGCAAAGATGCCAAGAGCTTCAGCCCCTACAGAACTCCATTGTCTTGGCTAGGGTATTCTTTTCTGTGATGAAACACCATGACAAAAAGCAAGTTGGGGAGGAATCATGGAAGGAAGTCAGGACAGGATCAAAACAGGGCAGGATCCTGGAGGCAGGAGCTGATCCAGAGGCCATGGAGGAGTGCTGCTCGCTAACTTCTCCCCATGGCTTGCTCAGCCCACTTTCTTCCAGAACCTAGGACCACCAGCCCAGGGGTGGCCTCACCCACAATGGCCTGGGTCCCCTCCCATCAATCACTAATTAAGAAACCACCGTACAGCCCGAGCTTAGGGAGGCACTTTCTCTACTGAGGCTCCCCACTCTCTGATAACTCTAGCTTGTGTCAAACTGACAAAAACCAGCCAGCACAGCAAACCCATCACCTCCTGGCCAGGACCTATGGGTTGAGTGAATGGAAATGGCAGACACTCCCTCCAGCTTGAAGAACTCAAAGATAAAGTTTACAACTCTCTGGATTTATCAGGCACCAGACGAGGCCTAGCAACTAGGTACAGCAAAAAGATGGCCCCTTTCTTACTAGGGACGTGGCACCCTGGAAACCCCCAGTTCAGAAAACTGCCAAACTACCTCCCATCAGCCTACTATATGGCTTTACTCTCTCCAGCTGAGCTGATGGCCACAGAGGCATGTAAATTTGCACAGGCGAGTCAAGACTAAATTGACTGGTCCAGCTTCCAGAACATTCTATGGATAACAGGCGCTGCACCATACCCCTCTCCACCCTGCAGGCAGATGGCATTCTCTAATATTCCGCATGATAGGCGAGGTCCCATATCATCATCAAGAATCAAGCATTACCAAACCTTTGTAGGTAAAAGATATCCACTGGAAATGTCCGCCCTTCCACTGTAAGGGTCACACAGGTATCCCTGGCTGGGTCACTGGTTTCATTCTGGTTAAAGAAATCTCGAAATTTCTGAAAATAAATAAATACATAAAGATTATCCACATTTATCTCAAAAGAAAAAAAGGATGGTTCATAGTAACCCACGGAAAGAAAATATAAAACCGGCAGAGGTATGTGGGACAGTAGAATTAGACACATACAATGACAATTACACTCGGAGGAATAGCTTATTTTATTTTAGAGACAGGATCCCATGTAGCCTAACTAGCCTCAAACTCACTACACAGCTGAGGTTGGCCTTGAACTCCTGATCCTCCTGCCTCCACTTCTTGAGTGCTGGGATTATATATGTGCTATCACACCACACAAAGTGATTTTCTAAATTTACAATTTTCTTTTCTTTTACAGATCCACCAAGCCATCTCCCCAGGGACCAGCTTCAGTCTGTTGACACAGGGTCTTGAGACTCAGCTCAGATAGACCTGAAATGTAGCCCAGGCTAGACTCAAACTCAGGATCATCCTGCCTCTGCCTCCTGGATGCTGGGATTACAGGCCTATGCCACCACATTCAGTGAAATTTACTTTTCTCTTATGAAATTGCAGGGAAATTTTCTTTTTTTCTTTTAATTATTTCTTTTATTTAAAAAAATGTTTTATTCATTTTACATACCAACCACAGATCCCTCTCTCATCCCTCCTCCTGCTCCCCCAACCCCTCATCCTCTTCTCCAAAAGGATAAGTTCTCCCATGGGGGGGACAGCAAAGCAGGGAAATTTTCAATGACAGATTCTAAAGGTTTGATTACAAATAAGGGTTAAAATTCAATGACTCTAAGCTGCCACCCTCTGTGTTTTATTTAGCTGACAATTAGGTGTGACTCAGTTTGGTACAGGTTAAACCAGGCTGGTGGACAGCTCTAATCTGGAGAGCACACATCTGATGGCACAAGGTTGTCAATTCCTAAAGGGTTCCCTCTTGCATGGTAGGTGTGTCTCTGATATGTAGTTACTGTAACTTCCCATCTTACTGTAATGTCAGGCCATCTGAGAGCATGAACAGTGTCTTCTCCAATCGTGTGCACATGCATGCTGACACAGGACAGGACAGGACAGAACCACTTCTTAATCAATGAAGGAACTCCCTCACAGTAGAGATCTTGGGCCTGAATCACTATGACTATGAGAAAGAGGCTGAGACAGAACTGTACAGAACCAGCCAGGGCCAGGTTTAAACATTCCAGGCAGCTCAGAGACAGCAAAGGTGGACACAAGCAACATGGTCAAGACTGTCACCAACACCCAGTGTCAGCTGAGCCGGGGGCCAAGGACGGACTGGATAGCCTTGAGGAAAAAGAGTGGAGATTCAAGACCCCTAGGACGAAGTGAGTGAGGAGGCAGGAAGAGTGGGGACAGCAGGGCCCAGGGCTGCAGGAGGAGGACTTTAAGAAGGGCTTGCTGGACATAGATACCACCAGGACACACAGAACAGTGAGAGAGGTGAAGCCGTGACAACCATACTGGATGGTGTGGATGACTGGTCTCCAGATGTTGGAAGTACTGACCCAGAGCTACTCTTTAAAGAATACTCCCCACGTACTGAGAGACACAGAGTCTGTCTCCAGTTTTAGCAGGTATCTTCATGAGGAATGTACAGATAAAACCCAAAAACTCAGGCTAGAGAGAAGGCTCAGTGGTTAAGAGCACTAGCTGCTCTTCCAGAGGACCCAGATTCAATTCCCAGTACCCACATGGTGGCCCCCAACTGTCTAAAACTCCAGTTAGAGGGAGTTTGATGCCCCTTCCTGACCTCCATGGGTACACATGTGTGTGTGTGTGTGTGTGTGTGTGTGTGTGTGTGTGTGTATCAGACAAAATACCCATACACATAAAATAAACAGTAATAATAAATTGGAATGCATGAATCCTGAGGCAGAATCAAGGAGACAGGAAGTGAAGCAAGCCCCTCACCTGGAAAAATCTGAGAACGGTCACAATGACATGACCACAGAGTAGAAATGGAACAAGATGGAGAGGAAGGGGGACAGTCCGTGAGAGAAAATGGAAATAATGTGGACCTCTGCTGGGCCATCGGCCATCAGCCAGCTCACTCCAGCTTCCTGTCCTGGAGCTGCTCCCACCTGGCCCACACTAGAGAGCTCCCAGCACCCATGTCCAGGCCCTCCCTAATCCCCACCCAAGTCAACAAGACTGATCTGTGCAAACCAGTCCAATGCGAGAATCTGACCTCAGAGGACTCAGGATCCTTCACCAGGACTCATCAAAGAGAGAAATTAATTTACAAGTAATTAGACCTCTGACAAAACAACTGGAAAGGTCTGCAAGCCTTGAGTCTGTCATGTGGACAGGCTCAAGTAGAATGCGATACAAAGGTGAAGGAATACTCTGCAGTCACATCTGCTATGTGTGTGTAACTGCTCACCTAATCAAGCTTCTACAAACAGGACAGCTCAACCAATCAAGGCAACTATCTGATCAGCCTCCAGCCTCTCAGCCACTTCCCTGCTGCAGACATTGGTGTCCCGTCTACAGGCTGGGCCACCCACCCAAGCGAAACCACAGCAGGTGGCCTGTCAGCAGTATTACACATCTAGGCAGTTGACATTAAGTTTGTCACCTATAGACATAGCAACTTGGGCCAGAAGGTGAGTCTAGGGCATCCTTGGGCCTCCAGATCCAAATGCTAGGTAAGCCACACCCTGCCCTTGCTCACTTCCATGAAGTGGTCGTCTCTCCAGGACTCTTCAGCCCACTAACATCCTCTTCCTCTCACTTAAGAATACACACCCACATGGAGCCACATCTACCCACAGCACGCCCTAAGCCAGGAGACCCCATACCTGGCTGTCTCCCTTTGGGATGACAATGCTCCCCTCAGGGATGTCCGGAGGGGAAGGGAAGAGGAATGAACAGCCTACAGCTGACCCTGGGCCCCGGTGAGTAGTGCTAAGTTCCAACACGCCCTACACAGAACACACCATGCAATGACTAATCTGGGCTCCGCCTTCCAACTCACAAAAGATTTCAGGAGAGGGCGGTGGTGGCGCACGCCTTTAATCTCAGCACACAGAGGCAGAGGCAGGCGGATCTCTGTGAGTTCAAGGCCAGCCTGGTCTACAGAGCGAGATCCAGAACAGGAACCAAAGCTACACAGAGAAACCCCGTGTCAGGGGAAAAAAAAAAAAAAAAAGATTTCAGGAAATTATCTACATCACCTACTACAGACAGAACTGAATGAGGCAATGTTTTCCAGTCTCTATGCCATACTAAGAGCCAATCTGTACCTAAGGCTCAGGGAACACTGTGGAAGAGGGAGAGGATCAGGGAGTTTTCTGTGAGACCGAAGCTACACCTACAGCCTCACCAACATGAATGCCTAACAAGGACAACAGCGGACATGCTAACATGGACAGGGAAAGACCGAGAGGCTTCAACTCTACACAATGGACTACAGGCAACTGAAGAATACCGAGAGAAGACAAAGAAGTCTTCTCTAGGGAAAAGCACACCAACTGACTCTCTAATCCAAAGGGTCAGTCCTGGAAACAAACATACAAGAAATAATATACAGACTAAGCAGGTTATATTTAGAAATATACGTGCATATTCACAGATGCATGTAACAATTAACAAAGGTCACGAATTTGGAAGAGAGAAAGGAGGGTATATGGGAGGGTTAAGGGAAAGAAAAGGGAAGGGGGAATGGTGTAAGTATATTATAGTATCAAAAAGAAAATTAAAAAAGACAATGCAAGGTAGCAAGTAGTTCATAGTTACCAATTAACAATGAGCCCACGGGGGAGGGAGGTGATGACTTGGACATTACACTTTTCACCACAACTAAGCCTGGTTAGGTCAGTTTTTCAGTTTATAACTTTTAAGAGAGAAAGAAGAAAGGAAAAGAGAACAGATCTGTGCAACTGGCCCACAAAGGAGAGAACCAGGGCGGGTCAGACTCCTCCTGTAATGGTTCCCTTGACACAGTCTACAGTCACCTGGGAAGAAGAGTCTCGATGAGTGACAGTCTAGATCAGGTCAGCCTGTGGACATGTCTGTCATGAGGGGAGGGAGTGTCTTGGTTATATTAACTGATGTGAGAAGACTCAAGTCCATCATGGGCAGCACCATTCTAACTGTACTGTAAGTGGAAAAACGGTGGGGCCAGCAAGATGGCTCACAGCTTAAGAGCACTGGCTTACGTGAGTTAAGAGGACCAAGGTTCAATTCCCAGCACCCATATGGCAGCTCACAACCAACTGCTACTCCACTCCCAGGGAATCCAATGCCCTCTCCTGGCTTCCATGGGCACTGAACACACATGATGCAGACATACATGCAAGCAAAACACCCATATGCATAAAAGCAAATGTTTTTTCATTAATAAGTGTTTAAAAGAGTAAGGAAAAGATGAGCTGAAGTGAGCATGTGTGCATTTATTCTCCCTGAGAACTAAAATAAACACTTTCATTCCTAGCTGTTGTTTGTCAAGGTATGTTATCACAGCATTAGAAATGCAATTACAGCACCTCCAGAGGACATTCCAGCAGACATCACAGTGACAGAGATGACAAGGAGCAGTTCAAACCCAGAGGTGATCACGGGCAGCCAAAAGCTCCAACAGCTTGTCAACAAGCTAGCCTGGGTACACAGGCAGACACCTTTTACCAAGTGAGTCTGCATTCTTCCACTCACAGGGAGACAGAGGAACAAGCCAGGGGCCAGCCCTCTCATCTCAGCTGTAATACAGAGCTGCTGCCTGGCATTTCCATAACTACTCCCTATGTCTCTACACGACACAAGAATGAGCTTCCTGAGTCCCAAATATGAGCAAGTCACTGCCCTAACTACTACACTGTAAGGCAAGAGGGTAAAATCATGAATAAGACAGAGTCCCAATCTTCAAGGATTCAAGCAATTACTGAACATGCATCTAAAATCAGTGTACCTGAAACACACACAAAGCAGTACAAGAGGACAGAAGCAGCAGGGGTGAGGCCTTAGAGGAAAGCCTCTCTGAGGAGGTGAGGTTCTCCTGGACCAGAGTAAGATGCTGGCAGAGTCATAGGGATGTCTGGAAGAAAAACTGACTGGAAGAACCCTCCCTCATCCCAAGGAGAAGCCTGGTTCTCTCAGAAAACAGAAGGGGCCAGTGGGGCTGGTACACAAAGAACACCAGACAGAGGAGAAAGGAGATGAAGTCAGGACAGGAGCTGAGGATGGAGCACCCCTGAGGATGGAGTACCCACGGATGGGACACCCTGAAGATGGAGCATGCCTGAGGATGGAGTACCCCTGAAAATGGAGCACCTGAGAATAGAGCACCCCTGAAAATGGAGCACCCCTGAGAATGGGGCACCCCTGAGAATAGGGTACCCCTGAGAATGGGACACCCTGAGGAAGGCGCACCCCTGAGGATAGAGTACCCCTGAAAATGGAGCACCCCTGAGAATGGAGCACTCCTGGGAATGGGGCACCCCTGTGGGGCCTGGCAGGCAGAGTTCTGGCAGCTTCCAGAACTCACAGTTCCTGTGGCTCCCACATGGTCAGGGAGGCCTGTTCCCCTTTGCCCATGAAAAAAAGTGTCATGTTATCTCAAACCCTGCTAAACTGTCACCTCCTTAGTGACAAGTTCCTAAACTAAACAGCAGCCTTCTAGGTTACCTTAACACACTGACACCTATTTACGTGCCTCCTTCTCTGGACTCGGAGGATATATGGATCACCTGTAGTTAGCAGGGGCCTTAGCATATAGACTATATAAACAGCAAGTGGCCAAAAGAATGAGATGAACTGAACTGTGTTTTGCAAATAAAATACTAGTCGTCAAGAGAGTAAATCAGCCATATAAAAACACAGGACCAGAGAGATGGCTTGGTTGGTAAAGATGCCTACTGCCAAGCCTGATAATCTTGATCCCTGGGACCCACATGGTGGAAGGTCAGAACTGATTCCTCCAAGCTGTTCCGACCTCCACCATGGCATGTGTGCCTACCACCACACACAAAAAAAATTTAAAAAATTTTAATTAAAAAAGAAAACAGAACCACTTAACATGAAAACTACTACATTACAGGAAAAACTTCAATTGCACCAAAAACATTAAAATAAGTGTATAATTTTCATAAATTCAAGAAATATAGCCTCACACTGAAAAGTAACTAAAAAAAAAACTGCCTGTGTCAGGAGGAGGACAGCAGAGACAGAGACAAGGCAAGTGGGCAGTCATCAGCTCTCTTGGTTAATTACAGGCTAATTTCTACTCACAGTTGAGAAGGAGCATCGTGTGGCATCCAGGGCACCAGATGGCCCCCAAATGAGGCAGGTCACTCTGCCAAAGACATGCTTTGGCTGGAGGTTTGTTCCTAAGGATGTCTGACAACTCCACTGTTTACACAGAAGAGGGAGAAGAGAGATGCCCTTACCTCTGCGTCCAGAGTGGCTGAGGCCACAATCAAGCGAAGATCCCCTCGTTTTTTCTGAATCTGAAAAAGAAGGCATCGGGAAACAATGGTGACAGTGGAGCAGTGTACAGTCCCTAGCCAGACACGGTGACCCAGGCCTGCAACTTCCAGCAAGCAGGAGACCAGGGAAGGAGGGTCGCTCACAAGTTTAAGACAGCAAGACCCTGTCTCCAAACAAAGAGGAGGCACATCAGTGAGACAAGAATGCTACAAACAACTGGCTGCTAATGTCACAAATCACTGTGAGGTAGACCACTCTTTCTGATTTTGAAAATATACAAAATTTTCTAAATTATGACCTAATAAAAATTTTTAGACAAAATATAAAGGGAATTTAAAACTTTAACCATAACCCTACCCCACTGTCTAACTCTAACCCTAAATTTAAGGATTGAATTTGAAATTATTAAAAAATAAACACTTTCCCTCACATGTGGGTTCTGGGGTAGTGTAAATGTATATATTCAAAGTCAGAAGTATGAAAGAGTACATTAAAATCAAGAAATAACAAATTGTGACACCAAGATAACAATATGGGCATTAATGGTTATTCAAACAAAGTGGTCACTGGGCACAGTTCAGCTGCCATACTCAGGATCGGCTGTGTGAGGCTCCTCAACACTGGCAAAGCCTGCACAGAACTGCCCTCGATCACACTGTCCCCAGGTGGGGATAACCTAGTGGGAAAATTCCTCATTCATATCAGAAAGTCGGATCATCAGCCCAGATAAAATAATAACAACGACAAAAGCAATTAGATATTCCCAGTCACGTGTCACTTCAGGGCTACACAAAGACACAAAGCTGAGGGGGTGGCAAGTGTCTGATCCTAAACCACCTTCCCTCACCCCACTGTGGACAGACATGGTCCCAGAGAACATCCTTTTCTCATCTGCACAAAGGTAAACGTATGGTATCATCTTCAGATCTGTGTTGCCTTTTTTAAGGCTCACGACAAACTACAATATCTAGCAAGTCCGCCCAGCAGACTTCCCTATGACGCAGGTCCTGGTCTACCCTTGTCCAGGCAGCAGCCACTACCCACAAGTGGCTATGCAGAGCCTTTGAAATACACTAGCACGATGGAAAGATTAAATTGTTATTGTATTCCCTTTCAATAATTCAAATCTAAACACCCACAGGTAGCTAATAATGGTTATAGTTACAATATAGGCTCATACCCACATAGACACAGAGATACTGGTTTAGAGATGGGTAAGTTTGGCAGTCAAAATTCACACCCAAACAGTGAGTTCTTGGTCATCCCAATCTACCACTTCTTTCTAAACTCTTGTCATTAAGGATTTGTATAGAGAAAACAACAAATAAAAAAAAAAATTCAATAATATTAAGGGTAGGAACCAGAGAGTGGAGGTAACAGCTAAAACTAAACAATGAAGAAGAAAGGTCATTAAAAATACCTCTATCCTGACATACGTTTGAAATATTTTGAAGTGTTAAGAAGAGAAAAGAAACAGAAGTGCAATACATCTAATTTCAGGGTGCTCACTGCCACAAGACCTGACATACACTTAGACACACACATGCCTGACAGTACAGGAAGAATATGGTAGACACCAGGAGCTACTGTGTAGCCACTGAAAACCCTGTCTTCCGGGGCTTGGAGGTGGCTCCGTGGTTAAGAGCGAGCACTGGTCGTTCTTACAGAGGTTCTGCTCCCAGCACCCATAGTAGGCAGCTCACAACCACCTGCTACTCCAGTTCTCGGGGATCTGATTCCCTCTTCTGGCCTCTGCAGGCACTTGCACACGTATGGTACACAGACATACACATAGGCACACACATATTCATAACATAAATACAAAATATTTAAAATAATAACAATAATAATAATGTCGTCAAAGGCTATTTTACAATAAAGATAAATGATCTTGATGTAATACTAAACGTGCAAGATACAAAATAGCACACATTATCCAATCCCACTGTGTCAAGACATATACACAGGTAGGCAGACACAGACAGAGAAGAAAACACACCAACATTCGCATCATGTTTTTCTCTGAATGGATAGGACAATGGATAATTTTTTCCCTTTGTATTTCTTGAATTTTCCAAATTGCTATAATTACTTTCCCTAACCAGGCAACAATATAAAAAGAAAACACACAAAGCAAAATACTGACAGTGGAGTCATACCTTCTTCAGCAAGCCAATGGCAATGTCCGTATATAAGGTCCTCTCGTGGGCTTCATCCAGCATGATGACACTAAGAATTAGAGAGACACTCTCAGTGAGCATTGGAGCAACACCCCACAAAATACCACCCCAGCTACCAAAGAGACCTCTGGGTACTCAGCCCTCATGTAATGATACCAAATCAAGAGAAAACCCAAGTCATACTTTGCCAATGAGGTCATTCCTAATCTCTAGAAACATGATTTCAACAACCTTTGTGAGAATGATGACAACACACTATTTGCAAAGACCTTCACCAGTCACCGTGGATTCCAAAATAATTTAATAGCTGGTTCTAACTGGTATGCACGACCTATAACCCCACAGAACACATTCAATAACAAAACCCAGCTACCTCAAAGATGTTAAGCCATGAGAACAGCCAAAGAGGGATGTCAGATTTATGAAACACATGTGCCAAGGAGTGGAACAGGACATCATCTCTCAAATACCAAAGCTGCAGGGCAACACTAGTGCTCCCAGTGATGGCCAAAGACACACAGAGATAAGTCCTCAGCTGGACTTTATACACTGCATTCACCAGAACACTGGCCAGAGGGCAGAAGCCGAACACTTGCCCAACGTGTAGGCCCCAAGTCCCATCCCCAGCAGCTGGCTGGTCACTTCCCTGGCTGGGTTGTGGTTCTGCAGGTACTCCAATTCCTGGAGTATCTCACAGGCAAGATAAACACAGACAAGCCAGCAGGCAGACTAGTGACAGATGTCCGTGGGCCCGCTTTTGTTCATGGTTTTGTTTGTCTGCTTTATGTACTCACTGGTGCTGCCTGTAAGAGGCACCACTATCAAAATCTTGAAAAACTTCCAAGGGCAGAAAGAGCCACCATCAGGAAAGAGGACAGTTGAGAGAAGCTGAGCGGACCCGAATCTCAGCTGCTAACCCAACTGCTTCCCAGTGTACAAGTGAGCTTTGGAAACCTTAGAAAGTTAGACAGGAAATCACATTTACCTATATTTTGTTAACAATGGATCAACCATCATTTCCCTGACCAGCATCCCATCCGTAAGGAACTAAAAAGTAAAAATACAAAGATAGAGAAATTTATTTACACTGATGATTCAAGTTCAAGTATAATCTCTGTTCCTGTGTAAGAACAACCCAGGCAGCACAGTAAGGACAACACCCCAGCAGCTTTATTCATCTAGCAATGGAACACTTTGCAAAAAAAAAAAAAAATTCCACACAGGGCTGCAGACCTTTCAACTCCATCTCTGTGTTACCTGGCCTAGTTGCTAATGTTAATTAGCATCAACAGCAACCTGTGTATAACCAACAGTGAATCTCCCACTTACCATTATTTACTATGTGAATGCATTGAGTCTGGGCTGACTCCTCAGCATGTTCTCAACCTCCACTGACAGAGCCACAGTTTTAACAGCATGGGCTCCAGAGACACTCTGCTTGAGTTCAGAGCCCAGCACTACTTTTACCTGCTGTAAATACCCAGGTCAAGAGCTTACCATCTCTAAGCCTCATTCTTCACTTGTCAATCGAGGTGATATAACGACTGCAATGAATTACAGTGCAAACCAAGTAGGATTAGTGAACACTAACAAAATGCTTCAGAAAGGAGCAGTTAGCAAGTGGGTGCCATTATTCTCACCCCAAAACCAAGCCGGTGCATGAACAAGCTCTCCTTATCTCACTTGGACTTTTAAGAGTGGAATGTGTTTCTAACAATTTGCTTGGCCCTGGTTCCAGCTGTCTCTGCCTCTGTCTCTCTGTCTCTCTGTCTCTCTGTCTCCCTCTCTCTCTCTCTCTCTCTCTCTCTCTCTCTCTCTCTCTCTCTCTCTCCCTCTCTCTCTCTCCCTCTCCCTCTCTCTCTATCTCTCTCTCTCTCTCACACACACACACACACAGAATGGAAAGTTCTATCAATGACAGTCTCAGCAGACAGAGCTTCTCTCTCTCTCTCTCTCTCTCTCTCTCTCTCTCTCTCTCTCTCACACACACACACACACACACACACACACACACACAGAATGGAAAGTTCTATCAATGACAGTCTCAGCAGACAGAGCTTCTCATGGACCCCAGAACAGCCACATGACTACAATACTCATCCAACGTTAACTGGTCTACATATAATTGAAGGCATAAACACATATTCTCTTTACCTGACAACATAGGTATCAAAAATTTGGAAAACAAAGCCTATTGGCTAATTTTATGTCAGTCTGGCACTCACTAGAGTCATGTAGGAAGAGGAACCTCAACTGAGAAAATTCCCTCACCAGGTTGGCCACTGGGCAAGTCTGTGGGTATTTTCTTGATTGAAGATTGATGGGGAAGGCCCAACTCACTTTGGGCACGGCCACCCCTAGACAGTAGTCCTGGCTGGTAAGAAAGCAGGCTGAGCAAGTCAGGAAAAGTAAGCCAGTAAGTGTTGCAGATGTTTGTTTAACTATGTAAAGATGTGCTGCATTTGTTTAACTATGTAAAGATGTGCTGCATTTGTTTAACTATGTAAAGATGTGCTGCATTTGTTTAATTATACAAAGATATATTGTGGTTTTACCTTGCCTGCCTAAGGCAACTGAATGGTCTAATAAAAAGCCAACCGACCAATAGTGAGGGACAAGGTATAGGTGGAACTTCTTGGCAGGGAGAGTAAGTAGGAGGAGGAATTTAGGTTCACGAAAGAAAAAAAGAGACAGGGAGACATCAGGGGCCAGAAAGACAGACATGGAGGAGGCAGGAAAGTAGGACATAAAGAATGAAAAAAGGTAAAAAGCCCGAAGGCAAAAAGTAGATGAATAGAAACAGGTTAAATTAAGTTATAAGAGCAGGTGGGACAAGGCTAAGCTAAAGCCGAGCATTCATAATTAATAGTAAGTCTCTGTGTCTTTGAGAGCTGGTTGGAGGCCCAAAGAAAATTCCAACTACAAGTAAGCAGCACTCCTCCATGGCCCCTGCTTCAGTTCCTGCCTTGAGCTACTGCCCTGATTTCCCTGGATGATGGACTAAAAGCTGTAAACTGAAATAAATGCATTCCTCGCCAAGTTGCTTCTGGTCATGGTGTTTTATCATAGCAATAGAAATCCTAACTAATCAAGATCCATTTTCTTACAAATGGTTACAGTGTTCGCCTGGCTCATCTGAACAGTTTTAATTCCTGTGTTCCAATCTGCAAGGCACCTGGTCTAAGGACCTAGCTTCATTTCATCAGAGCACCTTGCTCACAGCTCTGTTCAACACTGGTTCTAGCACAGCGGAGAAACAGTTCTCCGCTGAACTGATTATCACCAATTACCACTATGCTGATTACTTTATTATTAGCCACTAGGTTGATCACCACTGAGACAGAATCCATTACATTAGATGGTTCTAACTAGCCAACCACTGTGAATTTCACACTGTACCAGTTTATACCAGTTCACACCAGTTCACCCCGTGTTTGTCTGTACAGCTTTGTTTCTCAGCATAAGAGTCGGTAGAAAAAGCCAAGCATATGTAAGAAAGGCAACTCGGCATCCTTAGACTGTCACCAGCAGACACAAAACGGATGAGCCACTGACCTCCCAAGCCTCAGCACTGTCAGCTGTAGACCAGGGATAAATCTTACTTCTGTGTTCTTTTCTGGGCGAAGATTCAAGGACTCTTTCAAACTGCTCTGGTCTTCACAGAAGATGAATGTCCCCACGGGACCTTGCTGCCCTGGCTTGCACATGCTTTAATTCCCCAAGCAATGCTCTCCCTCATCCACACTGGAAGTCACTCTAAGCACTTCACCTTAATTCTCGTCGCCAGCGGGTCGGTGCAGTCATCGAAGCGGATGCAGTAGCCCACCTCGTGGCCCAGCACTGCCCCCCTTTCATCAGCTACTCTCCCTGCAACCTTTGAGAAGAAAGAGCATGCTGAAAATAGAGACACAGGAATTACTGCACAGAGCACCCACTACAGAGAATTTATAGGTCATTTAAATGCACGTGAACAATGAGAAGAAAAGGGGCAGGTCATCAGAGAGCTGGGAATACTGACTGATCAACTGATAGAGCTCTCCATTCTCTCATGGTCTGGAGACAACTTAAAACAGCATACAAGGGCTGGGCATGGTGGAACAAGTCTTTAATCCCAGCACTGGGAGATGGAGGCAGGACGATCTCTGTGAGCTTGAATCCAGCCTGATTCATATAGCAGTCTGAGGCCAGCTAGAGGTACACAGTGAGACCCTGTTTCAAAATCAAAACAAAGCAGAAAGCATACAAAATAAAAGAAAAATCACACAATGATCTTACAGCTCGGTACTGAGGAAACGGGGCTGAGTGTGCAGTTCAGTGGTAGATTATTTACCTATCGGTGTGCAAGGCCCCTGAGTTAAATGACCAGCACCAGAGGAAAAAAAAAGAAAAGAAAGAAGGAAACCAAAGAAAGGACATGTAAAATTCTAAACCACAGATTCAAAGCTAAAGAGCTACCTCAGCGGTGGCACAGTACCACAAGGCCCAGGGAGGAGGTGGGGGCGGGGGGGACACCAGGATGACTGAACACAGAAGTGGGCCAAGTTCATCTTCTCTTTGGAGGCAAGCCTGTACCAAAGGCCAGACATCTAACACAATTTTCAACCATACTCCAGCTCGAATGAGGACTACCCTATTACACCTCAGAGGAAGGGGCAGTACAGGAAGGACTACGGCATATGCTGCTAACCCCAGCCCTTGGGAAGCGGAGGCAGGAGAATAAAAAATTCAAAGTCAGCCTGGGATACACAGCAAGATTCTATCTCTAATATGGGGAGGGGGATGCTGACCAGATGGCCTCGTGCTTTCCTTGCAAGCATAAGGACCCACATTCAGAGCCTGGAATAGAGTATTATAACCCCAGCATGGGAGGCGGGTGGATTCCTAAGGCTCAGTGGCCAGCCAAGTGGCCTCCCAGTGAGCTCCAGGCCATGGACAGACCCTGTCTCCAAAAGACAAGGTAGACCTGAGGAATGACACCTGGGGTTGTTTTCTAGCCTCTACACCCACATGTACACACACGTGAGCCTGCGCACAAATGCACGCACACGTACACACACACACACACACACACACACACACACACACACACACGAATATAGGAAAAATTTTTTAAAAATCCATCTAGCTAGATCTCTAACTATCTCAAAAAGACCATTTAAAGTTTACTAACTAACAGAAAATATCGGAACTAAAACCCAGGCAGTGGCATGCCTGTAAAACCAGCTACTCGGAGATGAGAGGATTCAAGGGCACGGCCAGCCTGGACAACTTCAGAAGTCTCTCCCACCACCACCACAAAACACCAGCATAAAGGGGCAGGTACATTTACTAGTTGCTTTTTCAAAGAGTTTCAAATCTGCTAACTAAACATCCTGACTGAAAAGAACAAAGCTAAGCCATGAGGTTCCATGGCTCAGCACAGGCAGTCCGAGAAAGCAGGTGTGCGTCACCCTCCTTCCAGGCCAGGCAGCCCCAGACCCCATAGTCACTAGTGAGTTTGGAAAGCTGTTGCTCCAGGAAGGGTCCTGAAGCAGCCCAGACTCAGGAGCACAGACTCCCTGCACTCAGTCGTCCCCGCCATCAGTGTGCAAAAGAAACTGACAAGCAGAGAGAGATCAGAAGTAGCTCCGCCCAGTGCCTTGAAATTACAGATCTGACAAGATCCACTCAGAATCAATCATCAAGCAGTAAGTCCACACCACGCAGTCTTTCAAAATGTCTTACGAAACCAGAGATGCACCCTGCTTGGCTCTGCCTCTGGAGGGTGCATTTCCCAGGAGGCTTAGTTCTCATGGTTGTTCTGAGCTAATCCTCCACATCACATCTCAGAAAAAGGTACAGAGAATCTGTATAGAGAATCTATGTAGAGAAGCTGGGAACCTACAGGGAAAACAGGCTGGAAGAATGAGAACAAATGAGCCAAGCTCTTCATAAAACATTCATTTTGTGGGTATAAAAGTAAAGCCAGCCGGGCGGTGGTGGCGCACGCCTTTAATCCCAGCACTCGGGAGGCAGAGCCAGGCGGATCTCTGTGAGTTCGAGGCCAGCCTGGGCTACCAAGGGAGTTCCAGGAAAGGCGCAAAGCTACACAGAGAAACCCTGTCTCGGAAAAAAAAAAAAAAAAAAAAAAAGTAAAGCCAAACTCTTCTTTCTTGCTAGTTCAATATTTGTATAACCACACATTTTAAAAGTGTGTGTGTGTGTGTGCGTGCGTGCGTGCGTGCGTGTGTGTGTGTGTGTGTGTGTGTGTGAGTGTGCGCACATGTTTGGGCTGGAGAGATGGCTCAGAGGTTAAGAGCATATACTGTTCTTGCAGAAGACCAGAGTTCAGTTCCCAGCACCCATGTTCAGTGACTCACAACTGCCTCTAATTCTAGCTCCAAGGGGACAAAAGCCTCTGACCTTCTTGGGCATCAGCAGCCACATATACACACACAATAAAAATAATAAATTTTTTTCTTAATGTTTTAACTAAGTGTAATGGCACACATCTATAATAGCAACACCCAGGAGGCTGAAGCAGGAGGTCTGCCAGTTCCAGCCAGGCTGGGCTATGGGCACAAGTCCTCATCTTCAAATAAATACATAGATATATTAGCTATGTACATAAGATTTATTCTCAAACTTTTGTTTTGATTTATAATTATACAGAGTTGTAGTCTGTTGGCTTTATTTATTTGCTTGTTTGTTTTCTTATTTATCTATTATTTATTGTATGTGTAGATATGTAGGTGCCTGTGCCACAACTTGTGGGAGACAGTTCTCTCCTTCCACCATGTGAGAATCAAACTCAGATCATCGGGCTTGGCAGCAAGCGTCAAGCTGCTAAGCAATCTGGCTGACCCTCTATTGGCTTTTTAACAGATTTTTACCTCTACTGTTTTTACACTGTGTTCTCCACAACTCCATCCAATTCAACAGATCCCAATCACTGAACGACTGCTCCATGGCAAGTTAGACCTGAGTTCTCATGCAGCACGAAGGAAAGATACAGCAGCACTCTCTTGTGTCTGCAAACACACGGGCTCCACGGCTCCAATCTTGGCAGAGGAGGGCCAGTGGTCCTCCTGACCGACTGCCTCTCACAGAGACCCAGCTTCTGCAGTCTGTCCTCGGGCTCAGTCTGTGCACACAGCACATCTTTGAAATGTGCCATTTTAATCGTGGCAGCTCACTGTCCCTCATGGTTAATTTAATCATTCTCTGTTCTGTCCAGAGAAAGCCTGCAGTTGCACAGAATGTTACCTGTAGCTACAAACGTGGAGCTAAAATGCAAACTGGTTAAGAGCTGGGATTCCAAACTACACACAGGGAAAATTGCTCCAATTTTTAGCTGAGTCCTCTTTTAGTGACATAAAGAGTTAACTCAATGCAGATTCCAAACAATATATTCTCTTTCTTAAATTCTCTCTCTCCATCCTCATTCTCTCCCCCACCTAGTAATCCCAGCACTCCAGAAGTACAAGCAAGAGGATCAAGAGCATTAAGGCCAGCCTGAGTTACATAAAGACCCTGTCTCTAATGATAAAGTCTAATGGCAAGCGTGGACAGAGGACAGGGACACACTGCTCAACCACAGAAAGCTACTGTGGAGCAAAGTCAAAGGCAAGTCAGGGAGAAGCGTCTTAGGTGCACAGGCAGGAGCCAGACTTCAAAGCTGACTAGACCCACAGAAACTACTAACACTGTGCAGGGTCACAGGAAGTCCAAGAGAAGAGCACACAACTCTGGGGACACTGATCAATACTCAAACAGACCAAGACACACTTACAAAGTGTGTTCAGAAAAGACATAGAACAATTAGAACACAACAGTATACCATAATAAAACACAGAGAGCTGAGCCTGGAGATAAGAGTTTATCCACATCTGGGGGAAAATAACCCATATTGTTTCTGAAAAGAAACCCATTACAGTAGGCAAAGCAGCCAGGAAGGTGGGGGCACCCTACTGGACCTCAGTACCAAAAGACGAAGGAGCAAAGTCTGCAATTTCCAGGAAACAAGAGATGAATCAAGAATTTCATGCAGGGACTGGGCATGTAGCTAGTGGTAGAGGGCTTTGCCTAGCAAGTCCTGGGCTCTGACCCCAGCACAGAAATGGGGGGGGGGGGGAAGGAAATAAAGAACTGTATATTAAGACAACATTCAAATATTCTCAAACTTGTTTTTTAGAAAATTACTAAATGTGGGGCTGGAAAGATGGCTCAGTGGTCAAGAGGACTGGCTACTCAACCAGAGGACCTGAGTTCAAATGTCAAACACCCATACACATAAGATAGTAAGGGGGTTTTTAAAATGTGAATCTTAAAATGAAAACCAGGGTGCCGCATCAAGGGAGGGAGGGAGAGACATTTGAAAAATAGACCAGGCACAGCATCGCACATCTGTCTGGTTGGTTGGTGGTTGATTTTTTTTTTTTGACACAAGTGTCACTATGTATCCCTTAGCTAGTCTGGAACTAGCAATGTAGACCAGGCTGGCCTCAAACTCATAGGTCAGCCTGCCTCTGCCTCCTGAGTGCTGGGATTTCAGATGGGCACCACCACTTCTAGTACTCAGGACACTTAGGCCGAAGGATCGCTTAGTTTGAGGCTAGCGTCAGCTTCATGAGACCCTATCTCAAAAAGAAAACAAGAGAAGAGGGGAAAATTACTGTGAAAATAAAGGTTTTTTTGTTTTCTGTTTTCAAGCTTTAATAAACTCTCTCATGATAAGAACATGTTTATCTAGAGTTTGAAGCCGCCCCATTTTACTATTTCAGTTTTCTCTTTTGTTATATTTAATACACGTAAACATGGTCATAACCCCACGCTTCTAAAGTGTTCTTATCTAACCACTCCTTATTTTGGACAGAAGCGTGGAGTGACACTCACAAACTTTCACAAGGCTTCTGCTGGCTGATTTGTGCTTTAAACAAATATTTTTATTTTATTTCTATTCCCAAATACTTTATTACTAAACAGTTCGTAACACACAGGCATCAATTCTGAGAAATTTCCAATCAAAGCTCTCTCTAAACTAAATTCTTGAGGAGTAACTTCTACTCCTCTGAATTTTTTCAGGAAGGAAGAAAGGAGGTGAGGAGGGAAACAGAAGGGGCGGGCGGGCACAGTCACAAACAGAGAAACTCACTGTCACAGCGGCCACTCTTCGAGGCTGGGTCACTCCAACCACTCGTCCTTCGGCTGTCCAGCCAGCTTCTGCCAGGTACTGCAAGGACAACCACAGAAGGACTCATAGCTGACACCGCTCTCCCAGACAACCCTCCCTCCAGGGGACCCTGCACTGTGCTAAGTCACCAAGAAAGGTCACACTGCAGTGTGACAGATGACAGAGCTCAGGCTTGTTAATGTTAGGAAATCCCATTCACAGCGAAGCTGACGGAAGAACCAAGAGACAGACTGAGCATGAGGACTCCCCAGTCCTACAAATGTCTACGTGTTATACCTGCACCAAGGAAAAGAAATCATCCAGTCATGAGAACAGCACTCAATCTACAGAACAGAGAATTCTAAAGTACACAGAGAGGGCTAAACAGGAAGAATCAACCACTCAGCACATCTTAGTCAAGTGCCGGGCAGTGGTAGTGGACGCCTTTAATCCCAGCACTCGGGAGGCGGAGGCAGGTGGATCTCTGTGAGTTCGAGGCCAGCCTGGGCTACAGAGTTCCAGGAAAGGTGCAAAGCTACACAGAGAAACCCTGTCTTGAAAAAAAACAAAAACAAACCCAAAAAAACTCATCTTAGTCAAGTTAAATAATAACAATTGTTCACAACTATACATAAATGTGTACCATTAGAATATATTAGTAGATACAACTTGATTAAACATGTTTTCTGTGTATATATTTGATTTGAATCGATTAAAACTCAACACGGACAACAGGTTATCAGACTTAATTTTCTTTTTATAAAACAGTGAATATATTACTTCTATAATAGAAAATATTACAATTGAAATTTCATATAAATATTCATTGGTTCAAAAGAAACAAAGATAATAGCCAGGCAAATCTGTGAATCGAAGCCAGTCTGGTCTATAGAGCAAGTTCTAGGACAGCCAGGGCTACACAGAGAAACTCCGTCTCAAAAAAAGAAATGAAAAACAAAAAGTTTAAAAGAAAAAAAATAGAAAGAAATTAAAGAGAATGGCTGTCTGCAGGGGTTAGGTAGCAAAGAGATGGGGGAAAGGGCAGTTGAAAGGGGGAGACAGGGATGAAGAGGGTATGAGAGCTCTGGATGGATCATCTCTGACACAGAACCCACTGTGTTCCATGTACTCTTCAAAAACACAACAGCCTAAACCAGTCAAGACCTGGGGGAAAACAGAAAGAAAAACAAACACTAACAGATTACTCTCTGCACAGATAATAATGCAAACCCAGAAACACAGGTGGAGAGTGGTACCCTCAATGACCAGGCTGAGTGATGATGGAGAGTGGTACCCTCACTCACCAGGCTGAGTGATGATGGAGAGTGGTACCCTCAATGACCAGGCTGAGTGATGGTGGAGAGTGGTACCCTCAATGACCAGGCTGAGTGATGATGGAGAGTGGTACCCTGACTCACCAGGCTGAGTGATGATGGAGAGTGGTACTCTCAATGACCAGGCTAAGTGATGGAGAGTGGTACCCTCAATGACCAGGCTGAGTGATGATGGAGAGTGGTACCCTCACTCACCAGGCTGAGTGATGATGGAGAGTGGTACCCTCAATGACCAGGCTGAGTGATGATGGAGAGTGGTACCCTCACTCACCAGGCTGAGTGATGATGGAGAGTGGTACCCTCACTCACCAGGCTGAGTGATGATGGAGAGTGGTACCCTCAATGACCAGGCTGAGTGATGATGGAGAGTGGTACTCTCAATGACCAGGCTAAGTGATGAAGAGTGGTACCCTCAATGACCAGGCTAAGTGATGGAGAGTGGTACCCTCAATGACCAAGCTGAGTGACACTACAGAGCGGTACCCTCACTGATGCCAGAAGGCTGGACAGAAACTACCCTCAGTAATGCTGTGATCCCGTGGGTAAATGTTGGTAAAATCCAGATGGAGGTAGGAAGCTGCAATTCTACAACTGTTATGTGGACACTGGAATCTAACAAACACGTAAACAAGCCCATGGTGACTGATCTTGACTCAGAGTGATCCATGCATGAGTTCATACCCAAAGGCATCCTGCTGAGATGCAGTGATGACACCTCAGCAGCAATAAGCACCTAAGCAGTGGATCCTGACTTCTCTAATACAAGGAAACAAAGCTCACACACAGACCACAGAAGATGAGCCACGTCTTGTGGATCTAGGAGGTTCAGTACTGGTCAAAAAAGGATGAAAACTCTTAGACAGAAGGTGGATGCAAAAGAAAAAGCTTCTCACAGTCAAACGTGGAAGAATTTAAGCAGGAAAATAAACATGGTACACTGTGAAAACACAGCTATTCATGAATTATACGACTGCACGTAAGTAATCAAATAAGTAAATAGGAGAGAGATGAACAGTGCTTCTCAAAGAAGATTCCCTCTAATAGAGGTACAGAGAAAGAGGGACGTGTCACAGCTGCAGACAGGGCCTACAGGAGACATTAAAATTAGAAGGTCAAAGTTTAAACAGAAGAAGCTTTGCACCCTGATATTCCTCCTCCCAAGATATTTATCAACTGAGAAGGGACAGAAAATAGCTTTACAGGTGACAGCTGGCACCTTAACCAAAGTTGGAAACATCACTGACAAGATAGATCATGAAGCTTTGATACGATGTGCTCCACTATTTCTGTTGTTTTCTTGCAAAAAATGCACATGCTTCTAACAGAAGAAAGCCACTCTAATACAGAAATGAGAAATACTCTTCGACAGTGTGACAGACACGAGAGATGAAAGAAGTGAGGACCTCCCACTAGCTGAGAGGACAAGAGAGGAACAGCAACAGAATGCAGTGTAGGACCCTGGAACTGAAAAAGAAACCACTGGCGGACCTGACAGGGATTTAAACACAGCCTACAGTTTAGCACCTACTGCCCGCTGCTAACGCCTGCGGTCTGTGACCGTGCTGTGAGTAACATGGGGAGCAGAGTGCACTATGTTAGCTTTGAGGACTTCACTCCTAATCTAAAACTAGTTAAAAACCAAGCTTAAAAGTGACAGTAAGGAACAAAGTGTTGTACATAATGTAAGTTTTTCACTATAAAAACTGTAGTGTCTCATAGTGGTCACATAGCACAAATACCCTCAACCGCCCCAAACCACAAATACAGGCAGAATTGCAAGGACACAGCTAGACTCCACTGAGTGCCTTATGCACATTCCCACATGACTAACTCTGCAAGGAAGACAGCAGCAGCATCAACAACATTCAGATGATGGAATACAGAGGTCCAGAATTTGTCTGAGGAAACAGACAAAAACCCAAGAGCTGGAGTTCAAGGCCAGCAAATCAAAGCCTTGAACACAGTCTGAAACTCTACAATCCAAATGTACACAGACACACACAAGATGTCTCTCAGCAGCCATGCTACATGAATGACACAAGTTTCCATGAAAATAACCTATCCATGAAGCTAGTCATCTCAATATACCATGCAATTTAAATTTAGATTCCAATGGAGGCAGAGGTGGAAGGATCTCTGTGAGTTCAAGACCAGCATAGTTCAAGACCTACACTGCATTCTGTTGCTGTTCCTCTCTAGTCCTCTCAGCTATTTTCTCCCATAGCAAGCTCCCGGACAGCCAGGGCTACTGAGACCCTGTCTCAAAAAAGCAAAAATATATACATATTTAGTGTTCACTTACATGTTTTATATATATATATATATATATATATATATATATATATATATATATATAAAATACGCTAAATACATTATAATAACATAATTACTAACGAATGGTGTTAGAAGCTGGAATGGAGTTCCCCTGCCTGTATGTGAGCGGCAAGTAAACTATAGGGGCCACAGAAGGCTCCTGGAGTTCTGCTGTGTGTGTCTTCAACTGAGTGCTAGTAACAAACGTTATCCCTTGTAAAAATGCTGTATACTCACTATACAATCAGGATGTACACACTTTGCCGCATGCATTTTATACTTCAGGGGAAGAAAAGCCTGCACAGACTCTTGATCCTGGTCACTTAACTGTCATTCTTCACCTGTCAAGCAAGGCCTTTCTGACCTCACAGCACACTTGTCCACCTGAGCGTCACAGTAGACATTCTTCCAATAAGACAAGTTCCATCCACAGCGATGTGTGATAATAGCCAACTTTACTTACTGCTCTAGCAGTATTCTTTCAGAGAATGGCCACTCTTACAATTTTGGGAGTATAATAAATTGAAAACAATTACTAACTTTGTAATTAATAAAAAATCCTAAGTTCAATTTAACAAAAAATACCGGAGAAGAGTTTCTTAAGGAGACCCTGATCGTGGAATGACAGGAAAGAGAGCTCTCAAGTTACAAAGTCCTCCAACTAAAATCTGCGTGGAAGTATATTAATGCGCACTCACCTGTGGAATCTGGGTGCTCTTCCCACATCCCGTTTCTCCAACAATCACCACGGTCTGATAGCTTTCTACCAAGTACAAAATGTGGTTCCTAAGCTGGGAGTTAAGAAGACATTGTAAGCAACCATATTTTGTCTCAAAAAACCCAAGCAAACATACTTAAACTCTGTGAAATAAACTGTTTCCAGAGGAAGGTGAATTTTAAAAAGAACTCATAAAATGTGGCTCCAGTTCTCAGGGGCCACTGGTGTCAGCGTGAGCCAAGATGTGTACAAAACGATTGTGGAGTATGTTAGTACTCTCAAGTCTCCAATTAAAGACTGCCACCTATAAGAAGTAATACTGCAGGCATTCCAACATGCACACACACCAAAATATAAGAAGTAATACTGTAGGCATATACATGAAATATAGAGAATATACAAATTCATAGATACAGAAAGATTAGTCATTATCTCAAGATGGAGAAGAAAGGAATATGGAGCAATGATTTCCTAAGTACAGAGTTTCTGTTTTGTGTGATGGAAGTCCCACAAATGGACAATAGTATCAGGACATAATATCATAAATGTAATAAATCATATCATAAATATAGTTATTGAATGAATACCGTGAATGTAATCAATGAATACCCCAAATGTAATTAATACCATGAGTGTAATTAATGAATATCATGAGTATAATTAATATCTTGAATGTAATCCATGCCACTGAATTGTGAACTTAAAAAAGTTAAAATTGCAAATATTATGTTCATTTAAAAAAATAAGGTGGAATGTAATCACCATACATTATATGTGTGTATGAAATTAAAGACAGCGATGTTCTAAAATTAAAAAAATTTAAATAAACATTGGATTCCAGAATCCTAGCATGAAGAGAGTATTAAGATAGTTCAATATTCCTTTTACATATTGATTACATGGTAACTGATACTTTTGGATATATTGGATTAAAGCATTGTTACTTTTTTTTAAAGTAATACTGTAGGCATATTAATACATGCACGCACACACATACACATAAGAAAATGTATTAAAAAACCAAGCATGGTGGTACACGCCTGTAATCTCAGGACTTACAAAGTCGAGACAAGAGGATCAGGAGTTCAAGGTCATTTTCAGCTACATCACAAGTTCAAGGCCAAACTAGACTTCATGAGACCTTGACTCAAAAACACAATAAAAAAGTATATAAACCACATTTGTTCCAGAATTGTCTATTATAGCCAAAACTTCCAACAACCTAAATGTTCATCACAACAGGTGTGTGGTTAAATCAGTTATGAAATACTCAATAATGGTTGTTTAGAACACATTCTTCTCTTCATCTCTCGGTAGGCTCAACTTGTTTTTATTTAGGTTTCATTTCATTTATTAGAAAATGATGGGCAGTCAAGAAAGGTCAACATTTAAAAACTCAGTAAACAGCCACTTCCTTATTCTTGGGTATTGGTGTCAGGTACCTTATAAACACTGCACCGGTGACCTCGTCCAGGCCTCACAGCAATCCTACAAGGCAGGTACTATTACCCCACAGCACAGATAAGGAAATGGAAGCTTACAATAGTGAAGCAAGGTCACCCAGCACATGGTGAAACTGGGTGGGACCCTGAAGTCTACTCCATAATCCGGACACTTCATCGTGGCTCAAAAATGGTGCCCTTCAGTGTCGAGGAAGCAATGGTAAGCCTATCATCTCAGGTCCTGAGGGTCCCACCCATATATCTCTGTCACATGCAATGGATAATGCCAGTCACCTGAGGAAAAAGCTCAGACACTATCAGAAAGACTAAAATGTTTAAGGTCACCTAAAACGCCAACCAAAGCAAATCTTAGCTAGATTAAGAAGGCTTCTGTTTTATGTCTATGTAGAGAAAGAACCCATTAGTGGAAGGAATTACCAGCAGTATCTAAGTGAAAGGAAGCTCCAAGTCTAAGAACTCACTGTCTTAGTAGGGTTGGTGGGACAAGCTATTTTATTTTATTTATTTTATTTTTTTTTGGTTTTTTGAGACAGGGTTTCTCTGTGTAGCTTTGTGCCTTTCCTGGAACTCACTCTGTAGACCAGGCTGACCTCGAACTCAGAGATCTGCCTGCCTCTGCCTCCCGAGTGCTGGAATTAAAGGCGTGCGCCACCACCGCGGACTTCCCAGTCTTAAAGGGTGAGTGTCCTCTCCCCCTCTCTCACTCTCCCTCCCCCAAACGCAAACACACACACTTGCACGCATGCACGCACGTGCCCACACATACACTAGAATGGGGTGAGGCTCCTCCGGCTCCCTATGACTTATAGAACCATTCTATGGCAGTCCCCTTCCTTCAGCGACAAGCTCATGATGTGGACCACAGACACACCATACCTTGAACACAGGCAGCTTCTGTCGCTGCTGCTCTATGGAAAGGGCAGCATAGGGGTTGTAAATGATGGTTGTCCCCGAGTTCTCAGTGATACTTTGTCTCTCTTCAGAGATGCTGACACCAGGCCCTTCTGTACCTGTGGCAGAAATGGTTTTTTTCAGATTCTGATGTAGTAAACAAAAAAGGGTGTATAAAAGACAGATAAACAAAAGAAACAATGCTTTTGGTTTCAAACTACTAAAAACTATTAAACTTTGGCATTTCAGAGTTTTAAAAAAAGAGAAAAAAAAAAGCTAGGGAGGTGCCTGTAAGAACTCAAAACATCCCAAAAGCTTCAGTGCAGAGTCTAGAACAAAGAAGACGGCAGTCCTGCTGGGCTATCCAGAAGTGGGTCTTACAAATTCTAAACAGAAGTGAAAGAAACCCAGTGGAACTCGGCCAAGGCCAAGCCTGGTACTGACCGACAGCAAAACTCAGAGACAACAGGAACCAGGGGCTCAGGTTGCCACGGCTTCCCCTCCACACACCTCACCTCTGCACCTCTTGACAAGTTCAGAACCTTCCAGCCATGGGGTGGTTTCTCCACAGGCTGCTGATGGCCCAGAGCTCAGCCCACAGCTGACCACCAGTTATCCAGGCACCCAAGAACAAGACAGACGGTGGAAATGCTTCCTGGCGGGCACTGCTCTAAGCACTAGAACCCAGCCCTGGACAACACAGGTGCAGGCTAACCCTGATGGATTCAATGCCTCACATGCTGCCTCCCAGTAGAATGTAACCGGGTACAAGAGTGACAGGGAAGTGCCATGGAGTGAAACGAAAGGGACTTCCAGGGCCACGTGTATGATGGACACGGTAGTGAGGGGAGTTCTTTATACTGGACCATGGGGACTCGCTTCCCTCTTTGGAGCAAGGCCTAACATGATCCAACTATCCCAGCTGACAGAAAGGGATACAGTGATAGCAGCTGCATGTGAACCATAACTAGGGTAGTTACATGGGAAATGACCGCCCCAGAAACACTGCAGGGCAGACTGAAAAGCAGACAGCCATAGCATCCAGCTCTGAAGAATGACAAATCGAGACGGTAGATCCCAGGAGAAGTATGGATTCCATACGATCAGTTCTGTTGCTTTTCATGCCAACTTGTCTGTGTGAGCCAAGGACAGAACTAGATTAAGATACAAGTGAGGCTGGAGAGATGGCTCAGTAGTTATGAGCACTGGCTGCTCTTGCAGAGGACCCAGGTTCAGTTCCCAGCACCCATAGTGGCTCATGACCATCCATAACTCCAGTTCCACAGGATCTGACACCAGGCATGCACATGGTGCACAGATACATACAGTCAAAACTCACACACAAAAATAAAACTAATCTACAAACTAAATAAATAAAACAACAGGAAGGGGCTGGAGAAATGGCTCAGTGGATAAAAGCAGTTGCTCCTCTTGCAAGGGACCTGGGTTCAGTTCCCAGCACACAAAAGATGACTCACAACCAACTGTCCATTAACTCCAGTTCCAGAAGCTCTAACGCCCTCTTCTGGCTCCATGAGAACTAGGCACATGCATAGTGCACATAATACATGCGGGCAAAGACTCAAACATATAAAATAAAAATAAATCTTTTTAAAGTAAGTAAGATATGAATTAAATGACAGAGTTCAGAATTCAGCTCAACATAAGGAAAGCAGCTCTAAATGTCAGAGCTGTTCAGCTACAGAGTGTGCTGTCTTGTGAATTAGGAAAAGCCCCCTGAGTTCAGCCGCCTGCATAGCCCCTACTGGGGGCATCTCGGAGACAACCACCTGAAACAGCGACTTTCGAGCCCGCTGATCTCAGAACCTGCAAAGCCACTGAAAGATGGGAGCTTTGTGGTAAGGGTAAGCCCAGCAACTCCATCTGATTTATGTTTACATTTTGGTTTTTTAAGACAGGGTCTCCTTACATATCCCAGGCTGGCCTTGAACTCCGAATCCTGCATCAGCACCAAGTTTTAGGATTAACAGGCATGTGCTACCACACCCAGCTCAACTCTACATTTGTGAAGAGCTCCAGATCTCCTTGACAGTCAGATGAAGGGTATGAACTCTCCTCCTGAAGGAAACATGCAAGAATAGAATCCATCAGAACAGAAGCTCCTGGGTCTGCAGACTCCTAGAACCAACTTCAGACAGAGCTCCAGCAGCTTCATCTCCAGCCCTGTTTCCAGTTCTTCCAGGAACACAGCTGCCAAAGAGCAGGTAAGAGGGGCACCGATGCCTGCTTCTGCCAAAAGGCTAACCTTCCTTTCAAAGGGGAAAAAAGAGCAGAGCCTGGACCAAAGCCTGGGCTGGAGAGGCAGATTTCCGGTCCTCCTCTTACTACTGCTATGCCCCGACCACTGAATTTTTTTTTTTTTTTTTGGTTTTTCGAGACAGGGTTTCTCTGTGTAGCTTTGCACCTTTCCTGGAACTCACTTGGTAGTCCAGGCTGGCCTCGAACTCCAGAGATCCACCTGGCTCTGCCTCCCGAGTGCTGGGATTAAAGGCGTGCGCCACCACCGCCCGGCGACTTCTGAACTCTTAAACAAGAAAACTACGGCAAAGAATAGTGTACCCCCTTCTGTCCTGTTTTTGTTCAGAATGACCCCCTCCTTGAAACATTTAAACCATGCCATTATGTCTGGAGTATCTGAACACTCTCCCACACGCTGGCTCACAGCCCCCAGGGCTTGGTCCCTCCCCTCTAACCTACAGCTGTTAGGAACTGTTCCAGGAACAGCTGCGGTCAATCTAGGGCCTTTTCTTCTTCTTACAAAAGACTTCATTCAGCCAAACAAGAACCCCAAGGCTGCTTTCCATCTGTACACACCCCACAGGCCACTCTGTTTATGGCTGTTTTTAAATTGGGAGTGTGTGCCATGCTTCAGGGAGTAGCCTTTTTGCAATTTTCACAAATCATTAATGCTTGCATTTCCCCATCTGTAAAACAAGGCTGACAACAGCACCCAGTTCAGAATCCCTTCAACCTAGGAAGCCAGGAGAAGGTGCTGGGTCCCCTAGAGCTAAAGTCAAAGGCAGTTGTGAGCCACACAGCATGGGTGCTGGGAACTAAACTTGGGTACTCTACAAGAACAGCAAATGCTCTCTGAACCACTGAGCCACTTCTCCTGCCCTACACCACAATTCTTACCATGAATCAAGTCAAAAAAAAAACAAAAAACAAAAAACAAAAAAAACCTCCAAGCAGCTCAATAAAGCTTTTGCAAGGCACAAGGTCAGACACCATTAAGTACTTGTTGAGTGAGTAAACAAAACTGGATGGGTCCTTCTGACCCATTCATGTGTGCCAGCAAATAAAGTGAACATTTTTTTCTGGAAAAACCTCAGGCAAGTCACACAAGGATAGTTAGAGATCAAAAAATATTAGTTTAAGGTCTCCATTCACACCACCAGGAAATGTTTCAAATGGTCATTGTTGTTGATCTGAGAGATGTTTCTTGTCAGTTTGGTTTTATTAGATGGGAGTCTTGCTATGTAGCTCAGGATAGCCTGAAACTCACTATGTAGCCCAGGCTAGCCTTGAGTGCTCAATCCTCATGCCTCAGCCTCCCAAGTGTTGGAATTACAGGCATGTACTACTACATGCAGAAAATATTTCATTTAAAACATCAACCTTAAACCAGGCAGTGGTGGCGCACGCCTTTAATCCCAGCACTCGCGAGGCAGAGGCAGTTGGATCTCTGTGAGTTCGAGGCCAGCCTGGTCTACAGAGTGAGTTCCAGGACAGGCTCCGAGGCCAGCCTGGTCTACAGAGTGAGTTCCAGGACAGGCTCCAAAGCTACACAGAGAAACCCTGTCTCTAAAAAAAAAAACAAATAACAAAATACAAGTAAAACATCAATCTTTATATTTCTATTTGGGAGCCAAACTTAGGCATGGGTCTGTAATCCCACCTACTCAGAAGGCACAGCACGAGGATCACAGGCTAAGAGAGAATTCAATGCTAGCCTAGGCAACTGAGGAAGACCCTGTCTTTCAAAAAAAAAGAAAAAATCTGGCAACTCTGAGCCCATATGGTAACAACCAGGTGAGTGTGGTATCACATATGCAAGTTCCATGGCTCATCTCCACAGTACATTCAAAACCCTTCAATTCCATCACATATTATTCCATTACACACTTCCCCTTAGGCAGTTTGTCTAAAAAGCTCCTGTAGTTATCTGAACCTGTGACTTTGGGCATACAGGACAAGCTCATGATTCCACGATTTAGCCTTATACTCAGCTCCAACCACCTCCCTGACCTGCCTTTCCCACAATCCAGTTCGTATCTTGAACCTGAGTTTGTTCATCTGTGAGAATATCAACTCATCAGAGAGATGTTGTTACTAGTTGATAAGATGTTGTAAATGAAAGTGACTGGCCCAGGGCTCAGAACCCACTGAGCTACTCAAATCTCTGTGAATGAAAACAGTCTACCTGAGCTGGTGAGTCCCCAACTTTGATGCATGCTAGAAGCCCCCCAAATGTTTAAAACATATTCCTGCCCAGTTCCTGATTTCCTGACAACAGTAAAAGAACACCAGAGGGTTCTGGTTTTCAGTTTTTTTATTTTGTTTTTTAATTTTCCAAATGATTCAACTATACAGCAAAACTTAAGACCCACTTACCCTAGGCCATCACCCCATTCACAACGCAAGGAGGTTATTACTGTCTTCACCTTCTCTTCTCTTTACCTCTAAAGTGACTGACGGCCCCTCCTGTCAGCTCCCAGGCTAGAATTAAGGTTCAACATCCATCCTGGATTTCAGTAGCAACCTCTCTTAAGAGTGGTCATGTTCACTATATCACTGCCAGGTTAAACTTTCCAAAGGAAATCTGGGTAATTCCCTGCTTAAAAGCAAGGAGCCCAATATTTATTTATTTGTTTATTTATTATTTAGTGTGTGTGTGTGTGTGTGTGTGTGTGTGTCCACACACAT